AGTAGTAGTAGTAGTAGTAGTAGTCGTAGTAGTCGTAGTAGTCGTAGTAGTCGTAGTAGTCGTAGTAGTCGTAGTAGTCGTAGTAGTAGTGCTAGCAGTACTAGTAGTAAAAGTAGTAGTAGTAGTAGTAGTACTGGTAGTAGTAGTAGCAATAGGGTGGTAGCCGTATAACCAATCGCCAACCAATCGCTCAGCCTATCGCGATGCAGGTTTTAGCAATCGCGCAAAGCAAAGTAAACGCATCAATTCATAAATTTGTGACCTGCTTTTACGGACGGCTCCCATATATATATATGGGAACAATCTATGGGGTACAATATGGATTTAGTATGATTTAGTATGATTTAGTGGGATATGTAACCAACATTATGAAATGATGTTTGGGTCTATCGGAAAATTTGGCATACTCCCAAGTAGCAAATTTCAATGGGAAAAGGCTGATTAAGTGATTAACCACTGGATTTTGGGGCACCCTGTTTTCAAACAAACCCAGGCCCTCAGGCAGCTCAATTCTGCTGTTTACATATTCGATGTTCACAGGCACAGTTCTCTGAGGCTCCTGGCATCCTCAGCACCTGCAAACAGGGATTCGGACCTAGGAACTTGAGCTCAAGAGGCTTCCTGAATCAATGGCATATCGTTTTAGATGGTGCCCATTTGCCTGCATTCCCTGGCAACCTTCCGCGCGCACCTGCGATGTCACCCATCTCTGCACGTGCATCCAGCTGCGCATTGAAACTTCCCAGATTGCCCTGGCCAGTTTGCGGTGCCACAAGAACGGCTACCCAATCAAACGTCCTGAGAAAGGTGGACTCGTCAAGTGGCACCAAGAAGTGCACCCATCAGAATATCCAGCAGATTTCAAACGGTGCGGTACTGCAAGGACTTTCTACACAAAGAGATCCTGAGTAATCTGATGATGTCTGATGAATTGACTTATACACCTGCAAAACATCTATGCGCCAAAGCAGAAGTTCGCCCGTGTCAAAATTTACACCAAAACTACGTCGTAACTACGTTCTGCATTTGTCACCAAAGCATGAACGGAAACCCTGCCTATCTGCAATGATTTTGCAGGGATATCCGGGATATCCGCTTACCAGTGTTTAAAAGGAAGGCTGTGCAGAAGAGGTGTTTGCCTTCATTGTGATGTAGGGAACTGTTTGTGTTTCCTGGATTTACTGCAGGGTTTCAGGGTCTTCCATGGCGCCTCCAGTCTGGATGACAAGTTCAGCCTCACATGGACTGGCTGGACGAAATCGAGGAAAGCCTGGGCATCTACAAAAAAGGACTTGGGAAATCCAACGTATCACTTCCACATATTGTCCCCATAATGTCCCCATGATTTTCTCGAAACCAATGGGTCCAATATATGACATAATATGACCCAATGGATAGAAATATATGGCCCATATAGAAATTGGGTACCCCATGGTACCCCGAAAAAGGGTGAAAAAGGGAAGACAACAACCGCCAAGCCAAGCCCGCCGAGCTGCCACCAGGTCGGATCTGCACTGTGGCTGTGCCTGCAGGGCGTGGAAGGCGCAGGGCATTAGAAAATGAGACCTACCGAGGTCACAGCAATCTGGTAAACCATGGTAAACCAATAGAACTCAATCGTGGAAGATCAATGCAACACCTGAATTTTGCAGATTTTTGCAGATTGTGGCATGCATTGCATTGAGACTGCCAAATTCCAGACTTCCAGTTGCTCAGAAAGAGAGTGAGATAGAGAACTACAGCGGCAAGTACATGCAAATACTGTATCCAACACAAGCCTGAAATGATGCACCAAAGGACCTCCACAAAAAAGTTTATAAACCAACTATAACTATAGTTAATGGGGGTTATAATGGTTTATGAACCAACTTATAACTGGGGGGCATTGCAGCCTCCAAGGGCCATCTACCGCTGGGAACCCGGACCTCCGGCCGAGAAGCAGCCGAGCCTCAGCTGCGGATTCAGTCGCCCTGGTCACAGTGTTGAGCAATACTGGAGGCCAACAAATTCAAGGGCACGAAAACAATCCTTGGAATATCATGGAATATCATGGATTAGATGATGATGAAAAAAATACAAAAATATGACTTGAAATTCTCGTTGGCATCACAAGCCTCGTCCGTCAAGGAGACCTGGGCATCCTTTTGGAGGACTGGAATGCCAATGGCCTGCAGAAGAATGGCAAGATTGCAGGTTGGCGAGCTCCACAACTGGGGCTATTCTCATAATTTCTCTCTCTCTCTCTCTCCCCACTGCCATCTAGTCAAGTTCAGGCCAAAGGCTATCAATGTCCATTTACAGTGATGTTTGGCCAGCACAGTCACAAACCATTTGCAATATATACGCAAAATGGAATTAGAAGCCAAATAACAAATGGAAGGCCTGAAAAGCTCCAGGAGGGCTACAGCATTCACCAAAGGCAAAAGAAAACACACACCTAGAAAGGCTTATGAGAAATGTTACGAGATGTTACGAGCCGGTCCTAGTTGACTGCCACATGACCACAGCATCAACAGCAATGCATCACAACAGTTCCATCTTTCCACCTCCGCGAGGTTGCAGAGTTCTGTTGGCAAACGATGGCCTCATTCAGATCACAACGGGGGGTTCACCCGCACCCCATGGAATTTGTAGAAACGTGCCCGAAGAAGCCCGTTAGACATTCCCCTCCGTTCGGTAAATATACATCGTTTGGCCATTGGCCATCTCCTGCTATGAACAATAAAGATGTTTACAACAAACCTGATGCAATGAACCGTTGCATCGATACAGGTGTTTTTGCTTAATTAATTACTACATTTACATACATTTACTACTACGTCTGCCGGCTTCAGCTTGAAAGCTGATAAGCAACTGCTCAGCCGCTCAGGATATGACAGTCCGGCATCAGTACGATGGCCGAATCCTTCACGGGAAAGGCTCTACCTCACAGGTGCCTCTACCAGGGGGGAAGCCTTTGAAAAATGTGTTTGTTGATGCATCCCTCATTTTCAAACACATGGTTTGTCTGAAAAAGGGGCAGCCATGGGCAGCCTTACATGCCATCACTATTCAGCAAATCATGTTCCTTAACTTCTTTGGATGTATTGGGTTCTTGGGGGTTCAATCAGGCTAAATCAGATTTGTTCTCCCCCCCATTTCCATCATTTTCCATCATTTTCCATCCATTCCCAGACACCAATGGCTGCAATGGCTGCGGGGCTCCTGCTGCACCAGGCGATCGCGATATGCGCCCAGCTGCGGCACAAACTGCTCCAGCAGCTCCGGCAGCTCCGCCAGCGTCGTCGTCGCAGACCTGGCAATCCAAAAGGAACTGATTTGAAGTGATGAAATCCAGAGGAAATCCATAGGAAATCCATAGGAAACCAGGAAGTACCAGGAATATGAAACTTGTGATATGATGTGATATGCCTGTTGTATGCTTGTGATATGCTTGCGATACCTTGATTTTCCGTGCCGTTTGCAAAGCTCCATATTGGCTGTCTTTTTTCTTTTGTGGGTAATCGAGTCAGAATTTGACTGCGCTCTTCGTGCGTCATGTTCTGTGAAAAATGCCTCCTGGACCACTCAAAGCATGCCAGAGGCCACTCTCTCTTTGGCACAGCGCTTGACTTGCCCAACTGGGCAAACGAATCAAGAGATGAGGACAAATCCGCTGCCACAGCAACATGAAGGTCAGGTAAGTCCATCTGTCCATGGTCCTCACATGTCCCAACCCTTGAGCAAAACAACGAAGAGGAACCCGGTCCTGTAGGAAACAAGAAAAGCAAACCAAGGGACAAGTACTGTACATTCCCATACATTCCCTGGCTCTCTTCTAAATCTGCACGTCCCCGCTCTCCCAAGCCTTTCGGAAAGCTGCCAGGAAGAAACCCTCGGTGTCAAAGCTTTGGGGCCACACCTCGGGAAGACTTGAGATATTTATGGATATCTTGGGATCGATGGGATCTATGACCATGCCTCTCGTTTATTAAGGGAGCTCTTAAAATGAAAAATCCCCAAGTCACCGTGGGTTTCAATACTAAAATGCTCTAATGACTGGGATTATTTGGGGGTACCCAACTTAGGAAACCTTCATAAGTTTGAATCCATGCATCCTTCGTGCCCTACCACCTGTAAGGATCGAAAATTTCGAACTCCGCCAGGGTTCAAGCCGCGCGGATCCATCTCCCATCCCTCTTGGACAAGGAGTTCGTTCATCGGAACGGGCTTTCTGCAATACGGCAGCATACATCATGAGCCCCAGATCCATATGGATAAATATAGATATACATTGTACAGATTTAGATATAGAATGAGATAGATGTAGATTCTATAGATGTAGATATGGGGTGTAAGATACAAGATATGAGATATCAGATATTTATATAGGTATTCATAGATATGCGATATTGTACATTAGGTATTGGATACCAAACATTAGAGATATATAGAACGATATAGATATGAGATGAGGTATTAGATATAGGTACAAATATAGAATTGGATATTAAATATTACACCATATTCGGTATTAGATACTAGATATAATTGGATATTTCATGTAGATAGATTAGATAGATAGCGATATATATATATATACATATATATATATATATACATATACATATATATACATTTATATATATACATATATATATACATATATATATATACATATATATACACATATATATATATACACATGTATTTATTCATTTATATGTATCTGTATATGGATATAATGGATATGGATGTATCTATATCTAAAAAGATTTTTATTATATATCTGTGTGTGTGCATATGGAGATATATAGATATAGACATAGGTATAGACATAAATACAACAACACATATATATATATATTATACATATATGTATACTACTATATACTATACTATTGTATATATTTCCATATGTTTCCCGCGCGATTTCTGGAAGTTGCTGCTTCCCATTGGGGCTACTTCGCTATCAAAATCTGTTGGAGGAAAGCCCGTGGCAGTTTTTTATGCCTCGCAGCTCAGCAATGCTCTGGCAAAGGTATCAGAGACATCAAAAAGCCGCGCCAAGCAAACTTCAGCAAGTAGCTGGGTGTTGCTCTTTGGAACTGCCTCCAGAAATGGTGCTCCTTGGGATATCCTGACGATCGCAGTGTGCTGACACAGCTGGCCAGTTTTGATTGCGTAGCTAAGCAGGGTGTCATTCCAAGAATCCCACCACCCAAAAAGCATCACTCCCAGAATTGGTAACTGTAAAGAGAGATGTTGCAGGACATCCTTAGATATGGATGTTAAAAGCATGTAAATCCTGCAAATCCTGCATGTTTGAATCAATTCCCAGCAAGGAAAAAGATAAGACCAAGGCTCTGAAGGCAAACAACGCATGCTGGAGGAAGAAAAACATCGCCGTGAAGCGGCGACAGCAACGCATGAGGAACGGCATGGGCCAATCTTCAAGAAAGTCCAGGTGAAAAATTCGAGTGCCTGGCGCCTGCATCACAAGACTCCAGCGAGCCAAGGCTTGACTTGATGAACTTTGTGGTTTCAAAGTCTTAAAATCCTAACCTTTAGAATGCAGCACCACCAGACCCAAAACGGTCAGGTGTAGCATTGTCTGGTATAGTATTAAACCAAAACCCTCGTGGGCGTCATGTTGAGCTCTAGTGAGAACCTATATGCAATTTCTGCATTCAACCTGTGCGCACTGAAAGAGATAAGAGGAAGGAGAACAGGCCTTCTGTTATATAATTTCTGAGTGACGGTGGAATTTGTGAGGACATCCCTGCTCTGGTGACTTTGATGTCCCCAAACAATGCTGAATCATATATAGGCTCATCATGGCTCATCTACGGCTTGTTGCAAGCAAGGCGCATAACTATAAAACGGCCATCCAGCAGGAAGCTGTTTCTGCAAAACAAGCTTGCGCACGAGGATGGCCAAGATTGCTTGCTCAGGGGTATGAAAAAGGCACAGTGGATGCGGTTTTGGATTCGGAATCGGACAAATGACCTCGGCTTTCAGTGACGCAGTCGTCAAGCAGTCCTCAAGACCCCCTCCTTCTCTGCTAATGTTCAACCTTGGCTCTTCTGAACGCCTCGAAAAAGCCGATTTGGACAAGTGACATCACTCTGCCCACACCAGTGTAGCCAGTCTTGCATCAGGCGCTCAACTAATGCAGTGCGCCGCATCAAAATGCGATTCACGCAAATGCCTCAGCACATCACAGCCCACCTGTACAACTACCGCTAAGCTTGGCTTGTGGGAAGGCCATGTGCTGCTCCTATATTATATACATCAAGACCGTACATCAAGGGGGGCTCCAACTCAATGGAACTGACATGTTAGGAAGGGAACCTTGAAAAACCATAGGGGGAGACGGTTAACCTTCTGACTGAAAGCAAGCCTCTCAATGAAAGTAAGAAGCTGACAAAAAGTATCAACTTTTCGCTGCCCTGGCACACGGCGCAAAAGCAACTGTAAAAGTGTTGGCGTCCATGAGTTCCAAGGTGAGAGCTTTGCAATGATTCCTTAGCAACGTATGAATCCGGGAGCCTATTCACAAAGGCAATGATTCCTTGAACAAGATGGATCTTGGCAATCAAACACCTGCTGCATGCTTCAAGCCTACTGGCTCGGATCCTGCACTGGCCAAAACCGACAGCGGGAGGTCTAAAAAAAGAAGAACATCATGACTCGTTGAGGTATTCCACAGAAAAAAACACGGGATCCCCTTGATGCGAGGACTAAGCGGAAATCTCAGCAGAAAACGCCAATCTTTCCATCCAATATATACCTGTCTGCTGCGCACGAGGGTCTGAATCCGTTTCCACATCGGATCCTCCAAAGGTACGAAGAAGTCTGTGCGCTCAAGCAGCTTGCGACATGTCTTCCGCAAATCCTGCAAACCTTCTCGGTAATCCTGGCGATGGCGATTGCTTCAATCCAACAGGACCCAGATGGCTTTGTCTGTGCCCATGGGTGCCCCAAGATCGAGTGATTTATCATCATATTCCCTGGTCCAATTAGACATGGCTAGATCCCGTTTCAGAGACACCCAGGTTGAGATTTCTCACTAACTTGACTGATTACGGCCCCAGGGCAGATTTAAAGGTTCACCTCAAACGCTTCTTGGCACAGGGATGCTATAACTTGCTATAACCAATGAAAGCGATGCATACATCTGTTCCCTCTCCAGAGGTTGCTTCAGTCTATATTCAATATAGTCTATCCCGTCTCCCTGTTTTTGAACGACCACACCAAGAAGCACAAAAAGAAACTCCTTCGTATACATTACATTACATTATTACATTAGATGAGATTAGATTGTATTGCACTGTATTACATGACAGTACATGAACAAATATGGCAAAGCTCAGAATACGCCAGAATGTTCTGCCCAAAGGACATGGTCTGCCTGATACTTCTGCAGATTCGCATCCATAAAGAGAAGTATGGCACCAGGTTCAATTTGCGACAACGCTTTGCAAATGACCAAAGGTTTCCACGCATAGTAACCCAACCTGAGCGGGCAGCTGTGTTCACCTCGAAAGCCGCCCTCATACCCCATGCCAGGAGCACGCGGCAAAATCTAGCTGCAGTTAGACGTATTTGTAGAAATCCCTCAGCAGTATATAATTAAGAAACAAGACAGATCTACACAATACCTCATCCAAAGACATTGCTGCATTCTGTATGAATCTTGCTATAAAACCACTGCATACACAGCCGTCACTTGTCCTCATATGAGCCGCCGTCAAATCAATTGTTGATGCTTGGTACAAAAAAAAATGTTATTGTTTTTTTAAACGGGGGCCTATCGCATTACAGTGTTTTGTTCAAATCAACACTAAATGATGCAAACATGCAGCGGATTTGGCTTCACGGATTCAAATCTCTAAGTCTTTGCGTTTGCAACCATGTTGGGGAGCTATCTAAGCACATTCCTAGACTCTTTCCTAAGGAAGGACATTTACTACAAGCTCAACTCTGAACTTAATTAAGATCAATGGTTCCCAACGGTTATAAGATCACTAATTCTCCAAAAACGAAAAGGGATCACCTTGCAATTGCCCCTCTTTGATAAGCCATGGCGTCAGAAAACGCCACACTTCCCCGCTCAAAAGCTTTAGAAATTGAAGATGGGACCTCATAGTTCCGATAATCAAGCGTTCGTAGCTATGAAGAAGTGCCTAAGTCCCAAGTATCAAAACAACCTGATGGCCTAGGGTTGGGAACTTGTTCATTTTTTGTTGAGTTCTTCTTGTTGGGATCAAGTGAGTCTATCCCTCGTCCGGGGTTCCATTTTCAACGAAAGGTTCTCGCTAGGTTAGGTATATATTATACATTAATTATACCATATTAATCCATATTACATCTTTTTTTAACCCAGCGGCTTGTGGGCATGTGGCAGCAACTCCATATAGGGTTCCATTCCAGACTCGGATCTGGAGGGACAGCAGTGTTTCCTGTAAAAGTCATCCTCCACAAGGCTGCGAGGTGTGTAGCTCAGCAGCTGCACCTCGCCGCCTCGCATGTTCCGCTAGCTTCCGACCCTATCGTGGTTCAATATAGGTGTCAAAATTGTGGTGCTAGTGGGCCCACAAGTTGGTGATACTTAGGTAAGTATTAGGTAAGTCTAGATTTCAGAATATTCCAGATTTGATTCCAGATGTTTCCAGATATTCTTTGTAACAATCGATTTTGGGCCCATCTGATTGGGCCTCTGCTCACTTGGAAGAGACCAAAAAGCATCCGATTCTGCAATATTCTGCAGGCAATCAGGGTCGAATCCTGTAGGATGATGATGGATGATGTATGATGATTATGATGTGTTCAGACCGTCAAGGTTTGAGGGGTGGGGTGGGGTAAGGTGGGCTTTTGGATCCTTTTGGGGCACTGCAGGTTGCGCTGCCAAGGTGCCATGCAGCTTCAAAAGTTTGCGCAACTCTTCCACCACATGGGTCAAAGGCAAACAATCGTCCTGACGATCGGCCAATGAATCACTCCCACCATTGGCTGACAGCGAAGCATTCTCCGAAGATCAATCATGATCAATCTATGTATACATATTGCACATTGATTTACAATGTGTCAACGCATCCCCCTTAGAAAAAGTGACTCTACGATGCACCAACTGACACTCCCTGAGTCTGACGACAGATCGCTGGTGTCTTGCCTGAGGCGGCCCTTCGGTATAAAATGTCACCACTGTAAGCGAATCAGGGAGCCGCCTGACATGGTGCTGGGGGATGTGGGGCACAATATCGAACCTACCCCGATAGTATATAGGTATATATACGCATAATTATATATATATATATTATATTACGTGTGTGAAAACCTGCCAACCTACGTGGAAAAACTGGCCAGGCCAAACGCTGTAACACCTTTGTATAACCACACGTCTCCTATCTTACAGTTAAATCAGCAAACTGAAACATCATGGACTCACGATTCGACGATGGCCAAGCCAACCTTGTCTTTGAGGACTCCTGCGCCAGAGAGCTGAAACAGGAGAAAACACACATAGCAATAGCAGCGACATGTCAGCGCGTAAGCCTCGATGCGTGCATTGTCAGGGGGGTATATCTATGAATGAGTCATGGGCATACCATATATACAGATATAATATAGTGATATGATTATATATATATTATACATTTATGTGAGTGTTTGTGTGTGTGTTTAATCAGTGTTATTTTACGTAGTTCTCTATTCCGATGCAGGTGCCCGTGTATGTGAAAGCAAGGCCGCATCATTGACGCCGCACCAAGACCCTCAGCGTCCTCAGCCAGGTTCCTGAGTGGATGACATACAAGCCATGATCAGCAACAGTGAAATTCCAAAGAAAGCGTGTGGCAGAACAATGACAAGAAAATGCAGGACTGAAACCAGAACAAAGTAGAAATTAGCTGTAATCCCTTCCTCCTAATACTAAACGTCCCCCTAATACTAAAAACAGGCATCCATCTCCAATTTCCGAAAATTTCAGTTTGGCCAATTTGACTTTTAATTGATCCCCTTTAAAAAACAATTTAAAAATCAACCTACCATTTGTGGGTTCTCCCCCCTAATACTAAAAACTAGTTCACCCCGGGGTGTTTAGTATTAGGGGGGCCTAGTCCCAATCCCTCACTCCAAGCTGCCTAGCTACTCTAGCAATTAGGGGTAAGTTTCTAACTGCCATTTTTGGCAATATTTTAATTGCGCTATATAAGGAAATTTCATTGATTTTGAGATCGGAAAAAATAGTTTTTAGTATTAAGGGTTTTAATTTAGTATTAGGGGTAAGCTTCGAACTGCCATTTTTGGCAATATTTTACGGAGGGCCATTTATTTAGGGATTTTTTTTTAGTTTAGGGAATTTTTTTTGGATTTCTTCCTGCTTACTCTATTGCCTCCTGCAGTGCTTCTCTGCTTCTTTGCTTCTATTCCTTTTTTTGTTTTTTTTTACTTTTCTTTGCTTTTTTGCTTTTTTGCTTCCCTTGCTTTTCTTTGCTTTTTTGCTTTTTTGCTTTTCTCGCTTTTCTGCTTTTCTTTGCTTTTTTGCTTTTCTTGCTTTTCTTTGCTTTTTTGCTTTTTTGCTTTCCTTGCTTTTCTTTGTTTTTTTGCTTTTCTCGTTTTTCTGCTTTTCTTTGCTTTTTTGCTTTTCTTGCTTTTCTTTGCTTTTTTGCTTTTTTGCTTTTCTTTGCTTTTTTGCTTTTCCATGAGGTGTGGAGCAACATCTTCTATCCATCTATATCCATCTATATCTATCTATATCTATCTATATCTACGTATCTATATCTATCTATGTCTATCTATATCTGTATCTATATCTACATCTATGGCTGTATCTATATATCTATATACCTATATATATATATATCATATATCTATATAATTATCTATATATCTATATATATATATCTATATATATATCTATATATCTATATATCTATATATCTATATATATCTCTATATATCTCTATATATATATCTATATATTTCTATATATCTCTATATATATATCTATATCTAGATATCTATATACATATATATCTATCTATCTATATATCTATCTACCTATCTATCTATCTATCTATCTATTATTATCTATCTATCTATCTATCTATCTATACATATCTATCTATATATCTATATATCTATATATCTATATCTCTGTCTATATATATACTATATATCTATATATCTATATATATATATCTATATATCTATATCTCTCTCTCTATATATATATATATTATATACCACCATATATCTATATATCTGTATATATCTATCTATATTTCTATATGTATATATACATATATCTTTATATCTATATATCTTTAAATATATATATCTATTTATCTATATATCTATATCTATATATATATATATCTGTATATATATATATATCTACCTAAAAGGTTTGCATTATCATGCGGATGATATTCAAACCCCAAGCCAACCCTGAACCAAACCTTATATAAATAGATCTTAAACCAACTCGATGATAACATCAAATGAAACTATTGTGCATCGTTGTGCCTTAACCTACATTCCACATGTTTCCAAGGTGCATGTCGTGTAGTATATACACCTTGAGTATCACATTCAACCTAGCACCTTGCATGTGAAAATAGGTGTTTCCAATCTGCTTTGGGGGGGAGGCGCTGCGCCCTCCCCCCAATCCCCCCCTCCCGCTTTTTTTTTATTTAAATTCAAGCTTGCACACATTTCAATACACTACTTTGGTTAGAATATATATATATATATATACATTGTATATATATATATATATATATATTGTATATATATATTGTATATATATATATATTGTATATATATATATATTGTATATATATATATATTGTAATATATAACAACACTAACAACACTAACACTAGCAACACTAACAACACTAACAACACTAACGGTAACAACAACAACAACAACAACAACAACAACACCAACAACAACACACAACACCAACACCAGTAACAGTAACAACAAACAACTGTTGGAATGTCAGCCTTCAGCTCCAAAATCCTGCAAGTACTGTGAGGAATGTAGCTGTAAAATGTTGCACATACGGTGGAAATGCAGATTCCAGCTCAAAAATGCTGCAAAGAGCATGGAAAATGGACAGAACATGCTGCAAACTGTTGCAAATACCGTGGAAAATACAATGGAAAATGAGAGGTTCGAACTCAAAACCGTTGCACATACCGTGGAAATGGCAGTTTCCAGCTCCAAAATGCTGCAAATAGCATGGAAAATGGTGAGAACCGGAAATCCAAAAAAAATTCCCTAAACTAAAAAAAAAAAATCCCCCAAACAATTTCCTACCCTAATTTTAATTGCGTTATATAAGGAAATTTAATTGATTTTGAGATCGGAAAAAATAGTTTTTAGTATTAAGGGTTTTAATTTAGTATTAGGGGTAAGCTTCGAACTGCCATTTTTGGCAATATTTTAATTGCGTTATATAAAGAAATTTAATTGATTTTGAGACCGACAAAATAGTTTTTAGTATTAAGGGTTTTAATTTAGTATTAGGGGTAAGCTTCGAACTGCCATTTTTGGCAATATTTTAATTGCGTTATATAAGGAAATTTAATTGATTTTGAGATCGGAAAAAATAGTTTTTAGTATTAAGGGTTTTAATTTAGTATTAGGGGTAAGCTTCGAACTGCCATTTTTGGCAATATTTTAATTGCGTTATATAAGGAAATTTAATTAATTAATTAACATGACTTCGATTTGGTTCCCTAATAATAAATACCCCCCTAATACTAAAAACTACCTGCCGTGTTTTGTATAAGGGGGGGGGGGTTTAGTATTAGGAGGAAGGGATTAATTAGCTACATCTATTGGTACTCGTAACGTCGTAGATAAAAGCCCCATCATGCACTGGAAAGCCTTCCAGACTCCAAGATCGGGATGCCCTGACTGCCGACTTCCACGTCCTTGGCAGCACTGTCCCGTCTTGGTCAGCGGGGATCTTTACCGCACCAAATAAAACCACCATGATTGTGATATCATTGTAGAGTGTTGGGCACTGCTCCCTTGAGTTTTCTTCCCAGGTTGCGACTGAAATGCCAGCTGGTCTGACCCAATAGAAAGATTCTATAATCTAGAACCCGTTGAAATTCCGCATCTCAAGCCGAAACCCCATTGAATCATTAGCACACCCTTCACTGCTCAAAAGTTGCCCCACCACATCATTTTCTCCAAGATTCTTTGGTGGGAACTGTTTTCCAAGTTCCCAGCATTCGCTGGGCTTCATGATTCATACCCACTGAACCACTCTGAATTCTTGAAACGATGGCTGCAGAGATCACCAGCTCTTTGCAGGCAATATGCACCTATGCATGTGCGCACGAATATATGCAATCTCTGCAAATGATGATGGGCAAACTCATGCATATATATATATTATATATATATTATATATATGCAGTACACACACAGATATATATATATAATATACATATATACATACACATGACAGGTGGTCGGCGCGTCTGTGTGTCTGTGTGTGTCGGTAGATTGGCTGCCCATGCAGTTTAAACCGTGGAACCGTGGCTGCGTAACGGCCATCCGCTGCGGCACCCTACACGAAGTTGCTCCTGGAACGACGGGCCACCTTGGATGGAAGGTGGCGTACAGTCATGTGTGTATCCATATGATCAACTATGTAACATTATGTTAGTTAATGTTATAATATGATATAGCTCGCTGGTTCCTGCTGATCACTGATACTGTACATGTCAATAAATCTGACTAGCATGTGCCTTATTCAGTTCAAAAACATCCAGTACATGCACAAACCCGGACGGATAGGTACATACGTTGATATGTGTTAATATGCTTTTGGTGGATTGCTGCTCCGCAAAACTCTGATGCTTGGCACAAAATCAGCCTGGTCTTGAGTCCAGGTGACAGAGTCCAGCAAGTTCTTGAGTCCGCAATGGCCTCAACTTTCACGCTGGACCGCTGGACACCATCAATTCAAAGGCTTAAATGGACGAGCCAACTGTTGGTGAAGACAAGTTTCAAGCCTTGTCCCATTCCATCTGCAAATGAACCGCATGACTCTCACCTTGCCCTTCCAGTATCTTCCAGTCCTTTTTGCACCCTGAGCCACTGGACTTGGCATCCTTTTGTAGCACATATTTGCAGACCTGCGGCGTCTGGTGCATCCAAGCTGACCATGCTGACCAACTCCCCTTTTCCATCCTTTTCCCACCTCTTCATTCTCGATACTGTTGAGGGTACAGGTGGAATAGACCAGCCTTGGGGAACCGAGCAAAACCCAAGGCTAGTCCTATAGCAGGATACAAATCTCAAACAGCCTGTAGAGAGTGGTCTCGGCAATTTGTTGAATCATCGAGGAACAAGGATGGAAAATGACAATTATGTATAACCTACATATATTCTATCATATCTTCATGAAATATCTCCTTGTATCTGGTTGATAAAACTACACTAACCCGAAAATGTTGCTGAAAATTGGATGATTCATGATGATTCCATATGATTCCTATCCGAACCATCATCTTTTCATCATTTCAGAGTCACAGTGAGGTCACTGAGTGCTTCACACACCCCCAGGCCTCCGGACGTGTTGGTGGCTCATGTTTGGGGAAAAAAAAACTGTTTGAAAATTAAATGGCTTATGATGTCTTAACATTTATTAACCCAGTAATTTCCATTACTAACCAGCCATAATCTCAGCCATAATCTCAGCCATCATAATCCATTGTGACTTAAATCTCCTTAGCTTTGCAGCTAAGTTTACCACGCCTTAAGGCCGCCCAGCCGCTATCCACCAGCTGCATCTGGAGATCCGCCTGGGAGCGGTCCGGTTTCCAAAATGTTCAAAGGGATTCAGCCGACCATCAAAAGTTAAACCCTCCAATACTATCTAATAATTTAGGGCTTATTATGCATACTGTACATACTATATCATATTATGTTCAACTATGGCTGATTATGGTTAATCATTGTTAATGTTGACACCAACAACCACGGGCTATTCAGCATTCAATCTCAGTGGATCATCTTTGGTGGGGCTGGGTTGAATTCCCATGATGTCTGATCACTCAAGGTTGGGGAGGAAAGAATTGCAGCGATTTGCTGAAGTGAAATCACCGCCTTCTCCACTACTACTAGCCTTGATTTTGGAGTGTTCGCATGGGGGGACAATCGTTTCATGACGGCGTGATGTATTTGACTACAAACAACTACCATAACACCCTGTCATTATGTCACCCAGGCGCATTGTCCCAAGATTCCTTTCTGACGCTGACTACTGACACTTACTGATGCTTCAGTCAGCTGAGAACTAGTTACACGTGCAAGTCATGCTGTTCATTCCCTCCGTAGCCTTCTCGTGGGGTCGTGGGATTCCTTTCTTGCCGTTCCCCGCCAATCAGTGCAGCAGCATGACATTTTTCTCCCTGCAATCTGCCAGCAAACTTTCGTTCCTGGATCAAGTGTCGCGCTCAAAGAAGCTGCCGCTTCCCTACTACCAACTCCTTGTTTTGATAACTTGAAACACGGATCATACCAAAAAATGAACCCAAAAAACATAGCCACATGCTAATCATCCTCAAAGGAAACGGAATGCCCTTGAAACCAACAGATGCACATCAAGAATGAACACAATCCCTATATGGAACCCCATATTCTTATATATTCTTATATATTCTTCACAAAGAAATGACTTGCTTTAGTTTTGAATTTTATGTGGTTCAATTGGTTTAAATATAGTTATTATTTTTGTGGATTCTCGAGTGGGCCCTCCAGTTCTCAAATTGACACATGAAGACAAGAAGACACACGTATCCTCTCAGACCAAGGAGATTCTTCTTTCAATCTCATCCCTATCAGTTTAAAGGCAAAATATTGCAACATTATGCAAAATTACACAGCTCATAGAGGTTCTGGAAGCGAAATTGGTATCACCCACCAACCGACTGTCACACCGACTGTCAGTCATCGCTGTCCGAGAGACTGGGAGACCTTTGACAGGTAAGCGAACGCTGAACAGGCCTCCGGCATAACCTAGCCCAAGAGATCTGAGTTGCCAAAGAAAATCAAGGACTCAAAACGTTCAAAAGTTGTTCCATTGGCAAGGCCCTTTTATTGCCTGTACTAGCCTATACATTAATGGCATCCATGGTTTGCTTTTCAATGCCTTTGTTGGGTGGCACCTCCCGTCGGCTTTTCGACAAGTCCTTTCCCCACCTTCGGGAAGCTCTTCCCGACGTTTCTTGGACATGCCTCGGCTATTGGCTATTGGATTAAGTGTAGGAAACAGGGTGGTACAGCTGCCTGACATCCATAGGATTTCTGCAGCCTTTCCAAATTGAAGTCTTCCAAACTACCAGCATTTCACTGGTACAGGTTCCCAGGTCACATGTGACAGAGAATCCACAGGTCGTTGCCACCCTTGTCAGAGATACAGCCGCCACAAATTCCCATAGATTCTGCTCATCAAATGCCAGAACTGCTGGTACAAACTGATTAAGGTGTTACCGTCGCCGTTTCTTTCCCATGGGTTTGTCTGAAAAATGGGATGCCCCAAAAATTTGATCCTAATAATAAGCATGTTCCCCATCATGTTGCCCATTAAAAGTAGCATTTTTATGGGTGTGACCTCCATTTTACCCAGGCTTTATCATCCATCGCACCCAAGGAATTAGTGGCACCAAGCACCAAGAGACGCTGGTGTGCAAAGACCTGACATGAGGGAAGTGTCTGCAGTGACGTTACAAAAATGCCATGGGGTAAACCAACATAGATTTGGAAAACCTATGGTTTCTTCAGGAAAATTATCTATGTGTGGGTCTATGTTTCTTTACAAAAGGTGTTGTATGCGTAGTATTCTTATGTAATATCATACACGTTATCTGTGCTGTCGCCTTCAAAATCTTCAAACGCACGTGCCTTATGTCCCAGTACATCGAATCTATCTATACATATACTAGTATATATATATGCGCATATATATATACATATATGTATATGTGATGTGTGTGTAAGTACAATTATCAACATGTATCAACATATATGTATATATTCATCCTGAAGTAGATAGACAATGGAACATTCAAAAGAAACTCTTCACTCCTTCGGAAACTCCAGGATGACGACATATGTCATGATATAATATATATATATATGTTATAATAATAATGTATATATATATATATATATGTGTGTGTGTTTATGTATTAATTTATCTTTAGTATAGGGTTGCATGGATAGGGCATGATAGGGGATTTGTCTCGTATGGAGGTGCTAGGCTGTGCAGGTAAGTTTTGGGGAAGCATGCAAAGCAGTCAGTGCATACAAGTAAGGTAGTACGGAAGGTCGATATATCTGCTGGAGCTAGCAAGGCAGCAGGTTTCTCAGTTTTCCAGGGGTGATGCTCGCGGAAGGTGGTGCTTTCCGCGGCATCATATACAGTATTACAACATGTAGCTCAATGTATACAGGTACCGTCCATAAAAACAGCGAATCTTTTTGTCCTCGACCCCTCCAGACTCTGAACTGGGACTTTGGGCCGTAGCGTCAGTGATGTAGAGCGTCTGCATGTCCTGAAAAAGCACCGGCAACAAAACCCATTGACCTGCCTTGATCTCATCAGGTGTGGGTCAAGAAATTGGATGGTTGATCCAGGTTGCAAAAGCAAACTCTGGCGGGTTGGCTCAAATACTTGACCCGTCTCAATGGTCTGATGTAACCACTATTAACCACTGGATGGCGGCATGTGCGTTTTGTTGTGACATAAGTTTCAACTCTCCTAGGCCGCAGGGATACTTCTTTCGGGGGCCCGGGTCCTCTCCGCCAAACGCTGCACAGGTGGTGTAGCGAACTGGCACCTTGACTACCATACTGACGGAGCCATCCGGCAGGTAACGCACCACTCCTGAGATGCCAAGGATGATGGGAGTGCAGCTGAATTTAGTCTTTGTTTGGTTTCATCATGCGTCACATTAAGGAATGTCTCAGATATTTTGACATGGATTGACATGGCATTCATGGGCCCGACGGGAGGTATCTGTATAGGTTGTATAGGGCTCTGACAATCCTCCCCTGCTCCTGAAGTTGTCTCACTTGCCCACTGCCAGCCGCCCTGTAAAGTGAAATAAGCCTTATGACAAGACGAAAACGTGAGAAAGCATAAGCAACCAAATGGAATTCGTGTAAAGTGTAAACATTGTGAAACCCAACGTCTTCTTTGAAGGTCCGTCCGTTATTGTGTCTCTTCCTCTTACCGTTTCCCATGCCCCATGAAAGTCACCAGCACCGGCACGCATTCCTGCCATCTTGACGAGGCTCGGCCTGTGCCGAACTCGGCATTCCACAGGCCACCCTCTGCGTCGATGATGGAGCCGTCTGGGCGGCTCCCAGCATCAACGAAGATGTGCGAAGGCCCACTGAGTCCTGTGGAGCCCCATGGGTTCCATGCACTCTCCCACTGACAGCCCTTAACCCTTACGAATCTTCAATGCAAATCACCACTGTCCTGTAGTCTGGTAGTCTGGGAATTGCCAAATGCAGTTAGCCTCAAACACCAGCAGCACCAGCAACCAAGCTGATTCACAGTGTCACCAAGGCAGCTCAAAAAACTGTCTGGCCGTTCAAACGGAGGGCCGAAGGACGAAGTATACGAAGTTGTTGCACTGAGGGGAAACATGGATGGACCAGGACCAGGACAAACCTTTGGAGGTTAGCTGCAGAATGACGTGGTCTCGTGCAGACAATTGGTCCTGCGGCCTATTGCCCCCGCCATCGCCCAAGTGTCGATACCGAATATGATGTCTGCAGGCCTCTTCCAAGATTACAGGAGTGCCCCAAATATCCCCATCAGGGCAGCCTGTCCCTACGTCATGTATTATTTGATGCTTCCAGATACCAGGTGGCACTGCCAGTTTCACCGGCAAAATCGCCGTGCTCACTGTGGAATGCAGGATCAGCGAAGAACATGCTGCCGTTGTCGCTGAAGCCTGGGGCTTCAGAAGAAACTTCGAAAAGTGGTCTGGCACTGTCTGGCAGCTGACTCTTGCAGTCAAAGCCACTATAAGGGGGGTTCTCAAAATGGTGGATCCCCAAGTCACCTTCAATACCAACATTATCTAATTTTGGATCATTTGGGAGTACCCCCATGTTAGGAAACCTCCATAAAAACCACCACAAGCAAATGGAATGTCCTCACAATCACAAGCTGAAACCAAGAAGCAAATGGAATTGCCACACCGGACCTGACGAGTGCACCATGGCTTCGACATGCTTCGACTATATATATCAAAGCGAAGGCCTCCTGTCCCATACCAGCTATATCCAACTGATATATAGATGAAAGCTCTTAAAAGCCACACATCTCTTTGCACGACTAAACATGACTAAACTGTAATTGAAACGCCTCAATATTTTTGAGTAGAATCATTGAATGAGTTGTTAGGGTTTAATTAGGTGTTTCCATGTTCTTCCTTTTTTCTTCATCTTTGGTCCAGTCCTATCCTGGAGTCTTTGTCTTCTCCTCATTCAGCGGCCACCCATCGCCTTGTCCAGCAGCTTCTCCACAGAGCAGTCCGTGTTCAAACCTTTGCGACAACCCAAGTTGAGGAGAACCAAAGGGCTCACCCAAAAACTGGACCTCCAGTCGCCTTTGCTTCGTTTCCCTTCTTGGCCAAACTAAGTATATCACATATATATGTATGTATATATTTATATATATATATGTGGTATATCATTATCGCCAAGCTTGATCTCGTAGCAAAAAAAGAGGTTCCAAGTCCTAATCCATTCCTCTGCCCAGAACAACACAATCCAATCATACCGAATCATAGATAAGGACAGATAGGGCATATATACATAAAACATCATAAAACTACATAAAACTTCTGAATCCAATCACTATCCATCACTTTTTGTTCGTTTGACCCTGAGTGCAGCACTCAACGGCTACTAGCGGCTACTGTACACAGCTCCAACCGTTGTGCGAGCCATGGACCGGGCACCAAAGGAGCGAAAGTCCACAGGAAAAACCGGAGAAGTCCAAAAAGTCCAATGCAAATCCAACCCAGGTGCACACAGCACAGTGCAAAAGCCAGTTGAATATGAATTACGAACCGCTAACTGCAAAATGACCAGAAAGCTTCTACCATGAGAGGAATGGAAATACCCATCGGATCAGGCCCTTCCAATCACCAGGATCATCTGACATCCACTGGAAAGCTCTTCCAAGTTGCGGTAGACCGCTGCCAAGGGCTCCTCCCCCTTCTCCACCGTGCCGGACACCACGAAACGGCCCTCGGGGTCCACGCGCCCATCGTTGAGGCGGCAGCCCTTTGGGACGAACTCCTCGAAACTAGATGCAGTGGATATCAGTGGATAGGGGAAGGTTCACTTGATGGATTTTAATGGATTTTAGATGGTGTGTGATGGGGTCATTTTTTTTTCGACATGTTATGTAAACTGTAAACTTATTCTAAACTTATATATATATATGAGTACCTCTGAGATGTTACGACATGCTGCCTGCAACAAAGAATAATGAGCAGAATTTAGCAAAATCATATTCCAGCACTATAGTCATCAACAGACTGTCTCAAGCCAGGTTGTAAACAAATACCAGCAGTTACAGTAACTGGCCACTGCTAAGATTGCAGAATATTCGGGGGCAATGTTAACGAAATGATGCATCCTCTTGTCCGACCAACTTTGCTTCTACAACGGGGTCAAGTGAGTAGTGACATGTAGTGACGATATTCATAGGATTTCATAATTTCATAGGCAACAAATGGAAAGAATATCCTGCAAGGGCAGAATGCCGCAGAACAGTGTAAATCTACCAGTCCTGTGGAATTCGGCGCAAATCTCCAGTGGATGGATCGAAAAAATATAGGCCGTCCTGCCATCAACACTTCGAACAAACCAACTTGCTGAAGGATCATGAACCACCTGATGAGTGCCCATGAAAACGATTAAAACATCGAAGTGGATGAACCTGGAAAAGTTACAGCTAACGACCATGTTGTAGCTCTTGGTGCTCGACAACACAAAGTCTATGCCTATCTATGCCTTGTTTCACAATGTTTCGCCTGCCTGAGGAGAAAAGTACAAGAAAAAAATGCATTGGCCTTCTGACTCGCTGTGTGCAAAGCTATGCCATGGGGATCTGTCCACCGGGAGCGTCATGGATCATCTGTGCAACGTGTTCATGATGTCATGCGGCAGCAACATTTGTATTGCAATGAGCGCTTTGTTTTCACCTGCGGCTGTCCTCCAACTTTCACCTACGACTACAGCAGTACAGGTGATCGCGTCCCCTTAATTTTCAGAACAAGCCAGACTTTGAGAAATGTTGACTTTGGGGTCGGATTTCATGATGATGCGCACTTGTGGACTGCCGTTGGTCGTTTCAACTCCAGACCAGGCCTTTCCAAAACAGATCAATATATATCTTCCATATTATATCTCTCTATGTATATATACCCAGAAAACCCAACTATGCAAAATTTTAGGCATGGGCTGATTTTCAGTAATTTCCAAGCCAACAACGTCATCACGAGTGAAAAAAATAATTTTCGGTTTTCACCGGGCTGATCCCACAAAGAGCTAGAAATGGAGCTTTTGAGGGTTTTGCTTGGGCAACCAACTTCAATTGAACAAACACATTCATCAGGTGATCAATGTGAACTCTCACAGTCTTCCTGGCCCTTAATACAAGCAAAAAAATACTGGCAGGAGATTTCCGCCATTTTTCCGCTGGTTTCCGCCATTTCGACGCAAATTTCCGCCATTGTTTTGCACAGTCTAAACGGATTGTTGCAAGTAACAAGTCCCGTGGGTCATTTATGGAGTTCAATCAGGTTCGCACGTGGCAAATGCCCCTTTAACCTAGGTTTCCTTGCACAATGAACCCTGGTATACCTACAGGGTGCAAGTTTAACGCGCACATGACACAATTCCAATAAATTTCTGAACAATTAGAAAAACGTAATTTGTGTGCAGTTGTCAACCCCCCAAAAAAAAAAAAACATTGTTTGAAAAAACATTGTTTTTCGTGAAATGACTAACTCTTTTGCATACTTACAGTTTACCAAATATACAGTATACAATTAATTGTGTATATATATATATTATATAGATTATGTGTGTATATATCAGCTTTCAATCATGTTCAATTTAGATTTGTCTCCCAATATCTCCGTAGAATGTTCATAATCTATCATAATCTCATGCCCTAATATGAAACACCCCCTAATGGTCCCAACATGTGGAAATCTCCTACTAGACCATGGTTTCTTGGATGGTGTTTAATATTGAGGCCCAAAATTTGCCGTGCTTTCCTCGGGTCCTCCAGGGCCAGGATGTACTCACCACTTTCAGCAATGCAAAAGGACCCCGGGCGGCTTGGCAGCGTGAAGCTCCTCCAAGCGGGACACAGCTCCAGGATACCGACCCTGGTCATTTATATATATATATATACATATATGGGTAAATTATTATATTTCACTAACCTGAATTAAGGCAATTTGGGGATGATTCCCCTTACTAACCATCATTCCCAGTGAGGTCGCAGTGAGGTCGTTATAATTTGCCCAGGTTTATATATATATAATACTTTGCAAACTGGATAATGGCCCATGTACTTCGATGATTTGGCTGATTTAACCTATTAAGACTGGGGATGTTCACTAGCATTTACCAGAGAAGAACTGTCAAATAACTAACCAATTTGATTCAAGCATGCAGTTACTAATCATAGAAACATCTCTCTCCCTATAATATAACCATATATCATAAATAACAACTACTGACTACTGATCCGGTGTTGTACCGCAAACATTTGGGCATGAGTCAAGAATTTAGGGACAAAATGGAATGGGGTTCGGCAAGCAGACTGGATTATGACTGGAAATGATAAAGGCAGCCGCTACTAGTATGATGACCCAATAATGGGTTCAAAATTCAAGATCCCTGCTAACCGTTCCGCCAACCAATAGATATGAGTCCTTGGTACTGTATCAAGTCAATCAAGTTCCGGATTGCCATTGATACCATGCGGTAACCATGCTTGATGCACGCTCATACTATATGCATCCAATACAGTGGGTCTCACACATCTCACACCCTGAGAGGAGAAACGGACACGTGATTCTGGCTTTTGCGACTCAAAATTTCTTGATCAACGTGGCAATTTGCACTTGCTTCTGCCTTTAACCTGAACTTACCCTCCAGATTGCTCAAATGGTATGAATTGAAATCCTCTGCTGGACCCAGCACATGTACGTAGCGAAATCATGCCGACGCCTGCAGTCTTCCACAGTTCCTCTTGGATCGTATTGCCAAAGGCCCTTTCCCTGGATATCGATCCAGCTGAGCACACCACCTTGGTGCTACGGAAGCGGTGCAAGAAACCCATCTTTGACAAACATCATCGCACTCACATCTAGATGCTGTATGTGTGATTAGGCATACGGACATGCAGTGTACAGATTGCGAATATACTGTACATCTCCCTCTCTTCATCTCTATCATCTCTATCATCTCTCTCTCTATATTTAATATGATCTCTCTCTGGGAACCTTTGCTTTCTTACCCTCCAAACCCGTGGTCACGGTGGTTTAGCCGTGCACATTTATACACCCTCGTTATCACTCGTTGCTACTGAAGAAGTGCAGAACAAGAGGTTTAGCCTCACCACAGCTCTGCTTCAAGGCACGAGTGTCATCCCACACAGGGCATTCCCCCAGCTTGTTGCCACACGGTATCAAGAGCTCCGCCTGGAACCTGCATCCATCAACACTTGCGATATGTTTCAGTTGACTGGAGAGATTTCTACAGGAAACCAGGGATTGACCGTGATTGACCATCCAAGTATGGGCTCCTAGGTTGTTCCCTTGAGAATCAACCTGACACTCAGCTTGCTGCAAAGCTTCTCTGGAATCCCTGCTGGTGTCGCAGCTACTTCCATGGCAACATAAGACCAATGATATCCAATGATGCTGAGATCGAATGCCAACAAAACTAATTATATACAACCAATTTTACGGTGCATTTCGACAATAGATGCCGACTGGACCAACCATCCTGCATTACCTGATACTGTTCTCTTTGCTGGTGCGCTGTGTGCGAATGTTTGTTACAACTGGTTCAAAGTTCAGGTGGATGTGCCATTCGACTCATTTCGCTTCAGAGCCGGCAGCTTGGCATTTCCAGAACGAGTTAAGGGCTGTCAAGTTGCTGGAGCATGAATGGTAGAATTTCCAGTTGTCATGTATTCTATGCTGAATTCATCTTAAGGATCTTAAAGCTACGCGCTCAACTTGCTCCGACTTCATGCACAGTTTGAGGTTCCACGCTAGGGATTCACGACCACCTGGGATGAGGCTGGGCTGAGACAATACACGTGAAGTGACCTGTCTTGAAGTACTGTGATGCACCACCCTTTCTTTGTCTGACAGCTGGGAAGGCAAGATATGGGGCGCACGTGACAGAAAAGGGATCCTTTGAACTAAACTAAAGAGCGGACTGGGCTTAAACTGTCCCAACCAGGTTCATGGAAGGCGGTTCTTCACGAATTCCCTTGGTCCCACGGCCGATATCCGTGTTCCAGTCGTCCAGGTTGGAGGGATACTTGGACAAATATTGCAACACGGCCATCCCACATCGATTACTTTGACATCAAGCTGCTTGGTCACTGGTCCCTTTTTAGACGCTGTCCATCTTGCAGAGCTTCTGGAACCGGAGCGTGAAATGTGTATAAAAAGAAAAAATACTGATATTATTTTTATTGTTATAGTTGATGTTGTTGTCATAATTGTTAATATTATTGTTCTTATTATTGATAATAATATTATTACTATAATATATATATATATGTAAGTTCATTACCGTCATTGGAAGCAACCTTGACACATCTGACTTAATTGATAAATTTGGTAAAATCGTTGATATTCTGAAATGGAGAGCTCCAGTTGCATGAGGATCAACGTGTGGAAGCCCTTGCACGACTTCCTCGTGGCCCAGCCGTTGGTAAAATGTAAAGGGCTTTTTTTGGGGCTCCATGATCACTTCTCAACATGTTTTCCTTCAATATCTTCAATTGATCAATTCTTTATTCTTTTCATTTTTTTCCAAGAGGGGGTAGCATATCTGAGATCTTGCAATTCTTGTTCCCTCATACTGTGTGACATCTGATGGTTTCCAGTTGCTGGGGCATGGAGAGACATATCGAAGCGGATGGCTTCTACCACGGTGAAACTGCGCCAAGGCACACCGTTGCGCACCGTCCGCCCTGGCGTCCATATCCTTCGCTGGGGATTGCTATGCTCAGCAGATCCCAGCTGTGCAGACTTGGGGCCTATCAATTTATGCACCACTCAGCAAATGTCAGCTGCCGAAGGCTTTCTCAGAGCGCTTGTTTAAGGAGACCTTTCAGGTGGCTATCTTAGTTGCATAATTCCCCGTCTCCCGTCTGCACAGCTAAAGTGATTTAAGAAAATCATCTGCACTTTTGTGCCGGCTATGGAGCATTGCGACTCAAAGGCTTGCTTTGCAAGACCTCCCGTTGGCTCCCACTAGTCTTGCCCAAGGCAAGTTTCTTGGGCCTCTGCGCTGGCATGAATTCTGCAATCATCTGCAATCTGGTCCTAAGAAAGATGGTTGACCTTGACATACTGTTGGTATCTCCGCAGGCAGCATCCAAAGGACCAAGACTTGTATCTTTCCATCCCTGCAGTTCCAACTACAGGGCGTAGAAAGCAACACAGCTCACATGCTAATCGTCGGGCTTTCAGTCCGCCGTTGTCGCTGTAGTATCGCCTGAACCTGAGCACAAGGGCCCTACTGTGGCTGTGGACACGGCATGCTCGTATTTCAGAACGTGCCCAAAGGATCCCAAAGGAATGTCAGCTTGCAAAACCCTCAGACGAACATGGCTAGAGTGCGAACGTGTATGCGTGCATATGTGTGCGTGGTAGCAAGGTAGCTAGTTAGCTAGGAGTAGCTGGGTAGCTAGCTAGGTAGCTAGGTAAGTAAGTATAACTATTTCCCATGGTACAGTAAGGAAAGGTCGGGTCAGGTCAGGTCAGCTCAGGTATGTATGGATGTAGGTAGGTATGAAGGTAGGTAGGTACGTAGGTATGAAATGGTATGAAGGCATGTAAGTATGTGTATATCATATGTATAATACAAGGATGTATAAGGTAATTATATACATGTCGTGTTGCATAGAACCAGCCTTTGGTGGTAAAGTTCGTAAAAATTAAATACCAGTTGAAAATTTGTCCGACTGCAAGTTTGTCCAACTTGCATTTGGGACCACTCACCATGAGTCAACATGAGTCACCATGGCATGTTCAAATCTCAGGGCAGCACCGAATTTGCCACGACTTCGAGATCGCTTGGCGGCTCGCTGACGCGATTCCAGTTGACCTGGTGGCAATCTGTACTGGCAATGATTCCATTGTCTTTTTCCTGGATGCAATTTTTGAACTAACCGCAAGTATGCGGTAGGATGGCTTGGTTAAGCACAAGTTACTTGCAGAAGTTCTAAACGGCAAGATTTGAAGCGCAGCCCCAAAGGACTGCTCGAGCTGTGATCTGGATGTCTCAGTTCCCCTTCCATCGGAAAGTAAAAACTGTGATGATTTAAGTGGTCAATCGAGAATCAAGCTACCTGCTACATCCTGCTACCTACTGACCTGCCTTAAACCTGTCAATCGAGACATCAAAAAGCCGTTTCCAGCCATCGCGAATCCCAAATGGCAAGTTGTTCATCCCACCTCCGTCAGGTCCAGTTGATAGTCCTGGGTGGCGACATCTGCACGATGCACAACCCATCCCTGGCCCCAGTCTACAAGGCAACCATTTCATGTGGCACCCTGGTCTCCAACATGTCGAAAACGTCAGCCATGATAAGGTCACAGATTTGCTGGCTACAGCTAGTTCCCCAGCATTGTTGGACAATATAATTCCCATTCATATCCCATTGCGTAATGAATTTATATGAATTTACTGTACTGTAATTCCCATTAACCTCTTATCGTATATTATCGTATCCTATTAATATCCATACTGTAATTCCCATTCATATTCCATTGATATCCAATTTTTGTGGCTTCCATCTATCGCTGCAACCTGGTGGCTGCATGCTTTAGGAGCCGAAGCTTGGAGCGCTGCAGACAGCTCTGGAAGATGAAGGAATTTTGCCTTGGCATTTGGGGATGGAGAACTTGACCATTTGGGGATAAGAGTTGCAGTGCCATATAGTGCCATAGCGATTTTGGGGATGGTTTAGGGTTTTCGGTTTACCATGTTTACCACATGATATGGAAATTGAGATGGAACATATGATCCAAACAATGGTTGTGATGATTGTGATGGATTCTTGTAGGCATCCAACCATTGTATGAAAATCTGGATCTACGAACCCTTTTTCCTAGTGTGTTTGGTGGGACGGTGGGACAGTGGTCGAATTTGACGTGAAGCCTTATGAAGGTCTGTCATGAAGTGCGGCAGCAGCTCCGAGATCAAGACAAAAGCTGATCATGACCGAAGTATAATGAAGTATATGACTATGCCACAAATAGCGTTTTCGGCTCTTTGACATAATGGGTTTCAACACGTCCCATGGAAACTGGCAAAACGCCAGGCCACACTGATGTAATGAAGGCAGCCAGGTTGGACAAATCGATGGTTGTGATCTTCTGGCCTGGGACATTGCCGGTTAAGGAAGGCAGTTACAAGATTGCGACTAGTTGCCGGGATGGGTGTGTGTATATTGTATGTGTGTGTGTGGCTGTTGTCATTATTATTGTATATTATTGTATATTATTGTTACATGTATTGTCGTTTCGTATCATGGACAGGTCATCATCATCCTAGTAACTTGCAATGGTTAAAGGGTTACCATCGCCCGAAGTTGGCGCCAAGACGCTTCTGGAGATCACCCAAGTGGCTTGGATCAAAGACACCAAGACCTCTAAGAGCCCTAGAACCTCAGGTGGCGATCTCAGTGATCCAGAGCCACACTCTTCCATGGTCCAACGACCAGATTTTTAAAGGTGTGTCTTGCAGGAATCACAACTCATGGATGTTCATTATATAATTTATAAGAATGTATGTATATATATATATACATATGTAATTATAATATTTCTATGTTGCTTGATTCTTCTCACTCACTTCTGCTTTGAAATGGACGTCTTGCCAAGTGTCACTGACATGTGGATTGGCTTTCGCCCGCTCCAGGCAAAGTGGTAAGAACCTAATGGCACAGGAAACATCGATCGATAGCTTGTTGCTGATGTAGCTACATCTTGAACTTCTCATGCAGCCTGCAGTATGGCCAAGGAGCTCAAAGACAATGGCAGGAGCTTTGATGCCACTGGCCAAGAAATGGGTGGATAGTACATCCTGCTGGTGCTCGCCCAGCCTGAAACAGAGCACGAGAGTTTACTCAGAAACAGAGGTCTCTGCTACCCAAAGAGATCGTTGAATTCCGAGAATTCTTGACCACATCAATTGAGAACCTGGACTTTTATATATTTATATGCGTATATATACATATGTATATATAATTATATATATATACATATTCGCACAGGCATTTATATATATATACATATAAAATTATATAAATATATAAATTATATATGTTACATATATTATACATATATTCAAATATTCAAATATGATCAACTCATAATCCAAGGCATCCAAGGTGCTGATTCCAGGCAGTCTCCAGTTGATTATAATCCTGTGCGTTTCTGGCCCGACACAGGCAGGCCAAACGGAGAATTGCCAAGTCATAGCTCGAACCTTGGTCGAATCGTCGGGAACCAGCTACGATAAGCTACGGCTGCTACGGCATACCAGCCATGGTCCATAGAAAATGTATCAAAATGTGGTGAAAAATTGTGAAAAATGGTGAAACATGGTGAAAAATGGTGAAAATGGTGAAAAATGGTGAAAAATGGTGAAAACAATGATCAAACTGATTGAAATTAATTGAATAATTTGAATTTGAATAGATTTGGCTAGGGGATTAACACCTTGGTGATCTGTAAAAATGTTCGAATGCCGTCAAGCCACGTGCAAGTTGGTTCAAGAGGACGCCGCGTTGGTAGATGTACATCCTTAGAGGTAGTGATATGCAGTGATTCCTTGGGACTCTCTCACCTGTCCGATTCATCCCCATGGCACACGGTGGCCTTGATTTATTGCAAGCTGAGCTGCCAGTAGAGGAATCCAGGTTCTTTTTCCAGGACATACTGCACCTTTGAAGTGCAAAAAGCAATGGACGCAAGGCCGAAACAAATAGCTAGTGCGAAACCTGTGGTCGTATTTTTTTGCGACATCATTAATTCGATCTCCCTTGTCAAATGGCTTCGAAGTAGAAGTGAACAAATCTGAGCAAACTCCATTCCCGAAACAGCTTTACGCATTCTCATAACGTGAGGAGGCTTGCATAGTTTTGCCACCTCTACTTTCCACGATTTCAACTGCAGTCTCCAGGTCTTAGCAAAATGACCCGCCGGCTCACCCCTGCCAATCCTGCAGTCAGAAGTCACCTGCTCATATGTCACATCCCATATGGATCCATATGGCAGATGCACTGGGAGTGGCCCGCTCAATGCGGCAAGAAGCAGTGCTCAAGCCCAAGTTGATGTTCTTGGCATTTGCATGGGTCATGAAGAGCGACCCAGTACCTCCTTGCAATGCACCTCAGGGACAGGCATGGGGAACCCACACTTGGTGTGTTCCACATTTGGACTTAAGACACTAGAATCATCACTTCGCATGTGAAAGCTGTGGCTTGAGGAAAGGAAATGTTGCACTTAAAGTCTGGATCATTCAATAACAGCATCACGACCTCAATCTTTTTGTGCATTTCCGCTTGAACATCTTGATCTGGTGCACTGTGATCTTGGATTCGTCGAATTGTCTTCCATGGCAACATCCGATCCAATGCCGTATCGCTCTCCCCCCACCACATGTGGTTTGGCAAGGAGATTCCTCTTAGCGTCTTCATTTGTTTGGGATTCCCATCGGATTTCCATCTGACCACTAGATGTTTTTTTCACATCCCTGGGCCGCAGTTCCTGAACGTTTTGTCACATGTTTAATATGGAGGTTTCCTGAAATGGTGGTACCCCTAAAGCATCCATTTTAATGGGATTTTCCATTGTAAACCAACCATTGGGATACACCCATTTCTGGAAACCACCATAGATGTTTCGTGGTCAGTTGCCACATGTTGCCACCACAGCACTTAAGAATCCCAGGAGGAAGACGATGTAAAACTTCAGGATCTTCTCCCCTCCATTCTGACGCAGAAAGTCTTGCCTTGGAAAGCTTCATGGCCGGCGAGCCGGTGCACAAGATGGAGGGAACCGGCAAAAAAATGTCAAACATGCAGTTACTAGTCGCTATGATGCAGGTATGGGGCTGTGGCTTTTTAGCTAAATCTCATTATATAAATCTCCAAGATGAAAGACAAATTGGTGAGGATTGCCCTCCATCCAATATCTCACGGACTCTTTGTGTGCTTTTATCGAGCGGGAGGGGTAAGAATCTACATTGAAAATCCTTCTGGACCTCCTGCTTGTGATGCTGGCACCCAATTGCCACTAGTTCATTGGTGACTACTGCTCGTACACCCCTTGCATGACGAGATGCAACTGCAGCAAGTTTGCAGGCACATTCTCACCCTGCAACATCTGCGGGAAACTGAAGCCCTGCTGTAGTTCCACGGCAAGGCAGACCAAGTCTTGCCCGGCCACGCTTAGACCTGACCAGCGTCCACCAATTTTTATGGCCATGTCAAACGATCCCAACAGCATCCCGGCGGCAATGATGCCGAGCGGCGTGCGAAGGAAGGTACAACATTGGGGTGGTTTTCCTCGGTTTCCCGCCAGGAGCCTCCATATCATTCCCAAACCCTTGACAAGTTTGCAGTTACCTGTTTGAATCTCTGTTCATGATTGAATGGCTGGTGACCTTCGCCCTTTGCCTTTCAAGACCTTCGAATAGTGTTACTCTACGCAGAAGTGCGAGAATCAAATTGCCTCACGGTGCTGCGCAATCATGTGGAATGTGGAATCACGGACTAAGAGCACGCTGATTGTTCCAGGAGAAGTGGCGATGAAAAGGGGGAGGGCAGCATCCTGCAACGACCATCAGCAGGAACATGAACATACCCACATGCCCAGCCGGGGGTTGGTCGCCAAGGAGCCATGATGTACAACAATGCCTCTTCCGGCTTCTGAGCCTCTCTCGGCAGCTGCCTTGTCACAGCCCTGGGCAGTGGCCAAGCAGTAGTTATGGGGCCATGGGCCAATCTGGCATCGGCTCATCAGATCCCTACAAGTACCATCCCCAGTCCTGCACTTTCCCAGGCTTCGAACAGCAAGTAGAAAAAAGGCCGCTTCTAAAACGTCCTGCGGAGCCAGCTGGCACATCCGCACAAATATCACAAATGACTCAACCTGAACCCAAGCTGAGCCGAATTCACCATGGGCGGTGGGATTGGCCTGGCGCACTACCCCATTACTGCAATATACTGCAATGACATGTAATGACTATGATGCAAATTGATGCAAATTGATGCAAATTGATGCAAATTGATGCAAATTGATGCAAATTGATGCAATGGTAATGACTACCCCATGGCACTGCCCAAACTTCACCCATTTTGTCCATTTTTGTCCTCCGTCGGATCGGCCCATTTCAGGATGTTGCGGAGCTCTTGCCACTGGCTCGGATGCAGTTTGGCAGTCTCCTCCGGCGAAACTGTGTCGGGGAAGCGCCAGAACCGAACCGCACTCAGCCAGTCCTGTTGAGGCTCAGTGAAGCTGTCGTAGTCGTCAGTCACCAGTGCAGCCAAGCAGAAACACGCGCAAACTGCCTGGCAATTGAGGAGTTCAAAGCTCTTAAACGCATTAATTATATTAATTAAGCCCTGCACCTGTACTGGGTTACTGTAACAACCTTTCGAAATATATCATTTTCACCACGGCTGCAGGCATGTGAGGCCTAACACCCTCCCAAGATGTTGAGCCTTCTCGTGTTCCTGCTCAAACGAGTACCTCAGCTGCAAGCAAACGCCTGGCATCACCTGGCCATGATATGCGCAGTGTTGACATGCCCTGGATTTGGATAGTTGATGATATCTATGATGATATCTATTATCTATTAATTGATATTATCGGATGTGTTCTGGAAAAATCTGTAAGATTCGGATGCACCTTGCATTTACAGTACTTCTAGCTTTTGACTCCCTCAGGCCAACAAAGGAATGTTGATGCGATATGGTGATGCGATGCAACTAAGACACATGGTATGCAAACCATATCTCGGATGAAGTTCGACGAAGGCCTCCAGTTCTGAGCGGATCTGATTTGTAACAATTGAGAGGCAGTAAATAGAAATGCGGGCGAAGGCAAAACGCAAAACTCACAGACACATGACGCTGGGGGAAAGCAACAAAATCAAAGCAACCAATTCGCAATGACAATGAAGAAGCATAAACACATGTCGAAGCATGGATATAGAGTAGAGCAAACTCTAAGAAAAAAGATTACGATGCTGACGGTGATGGCGACGACGACGTTATGTAATCTCCAGTCACGCCCACGAGGTGTGAACCATACGAGCAAGTCAATCCGAAGGGTCTCAAGGAAAACCCCTGCCCGACGGTTCTAAGAACAGCACGAGACATTTCAAAAACATCCCAAGTTAAAACATGACATGTTTTTTTAAGAGTAATATAAAATATAGCACCTTAAAACTATTATTTAACATTTAACAATTTTAACAGTAATTTTTCATAGTACTAACAATCATCGCGGTAGTGATAGGAACGCCGGCCTCTTGCAGCTGTTCAGCTGTGAAGGATTGGCCCTGAAGCAATGCCTTCACCAACGAATTCGCTGGATCTGTCACGGAGGTGTCCTGGGGATCATGACCGGTGGGTCCTGGGGTGGGAAGCGCGAGGCTTCAGTGGGGCACATTTTTTTGACATGTTATGATTGCTAAAGAATCAAAATATAATTAGAATATGATAATAGTTTTTTTTGAATATGACATAATCAGAATATAATCAGCACAGCTGGGAGTGTGACCCAAAAACGACTGTTTGGCAAACAAAATCAAACAAAGATGTGAGAGGTGATATTCTGGGATCCTTTACTGAAATGTGAAATCCTGAGCATGTCTCTTTAGAGCGTGCTGTGCTGCATTCGGCATGTCTAGCCGCCTAGCCCTAACTGCAAAGTATTTAAAAACTAGCATTTTCATGTGGTTGGAAACTCTTGGTAGCTCCAGCTGGCTCCCCATTTAACAATTTTAACAGGGAATGATGGAACATGATGGAATATGAATGCCGTAATCGCTCGATCCGTTGCTCATGTTGCTCCCTCCACTGGATGGTGAATGACAGCGCCTGGTGGTGGAACATTTCGTGATGCCTGAGCTGAAGCTCTGTGAGAAGTAGAACGGTGTTGCGGCGTTGCTGTTTGGTCTGCATTATGTCTGTAAGCTCCAGCAGAATTGGCCTGAAAGATCTGAAAGGAAAAACTGAATGTGTCTGAATGTGTCTGATATTCGATGTGACGATATGAAGATCATATGATTCTACGATCTAAGGATGATATACATATATATATATTATACGTATGTGATGATGGGTCCAAGAGGACGAGGTTTGCTGTGAGTTGGAACCTGAACATTAGGCACACATGCCCTGGAAGATTACATATACGTTGGATTGGTGAAAATATCGTCAAAGATTTCGTTGCTTCAACTCAAGTTCAAACGAAATTCTGATGAAATCCTAACGAAATTCTGACAAAAGAATTTGTGGCAAATTCTTGCGGCAAAAAGGTTTTGCCACAAAGCACCCGACGAAAAGTCTAACGAATGCCTGACGAAATTCTGACGAAAGACACGAAAGGACAACGAAGGAACAAACAAAAGAAACATATTATACCGTATGCCAGAAAATATTGCAAGTGGTCGATCATCATGGAGGAGCACCATCACAACACATATGGCATCATACGGCACTGTACCTGCACAAACAGTCACACAACTGGCCTTCCAATGACTTCTAATGGCTGTGTCGCCCAGGTGGAATTATGAAGTCTTTGTTGAGATATATGGGGCAAGGCGCCCGCGCAATTGCTGTAGAAATCCTCCAACAAACTAATGATCTCACATGATCTCATGAAGCCTCCCTTGGAACTAAAATTTCATGAAATTTGGGCGTGCTATGAGCGTACTCAGCATGCTCGTGAATTCGTGACCCGCGCCCAAGGCCCAGGGCCAGCCGGCCCCACCAACGAGTTGCATATGTGAACCCTCCGGCCAGTTGTGGTACTCTTCCGCAGTGCCCTCAGAATCCTCGTCGCAAAGCAACATCCTGGGACTTGAAGCATCATCCTGTCGCAAAGTGTTTGACCTGCGGGACCTGCCGCTGTTGAAATCGTTCATCAACATATTGTATCAACGTAGATGGATGATATGGATGATATAGGATTAGTTGATATTAGTTGCACGGAATTAATGTCTGCATCGAAATGAAAAAATGTGCAACGTGACCAGCTTCTTGCCTCTTTCTCCTGTTTCTTCCCCCTCTTCTTCAAATCCTCTAATGACCTGATGCAAATCTGCACCAGATAGCGAAATCAACATGACATGTTGTTACTCTTCAGATCTCTTGAGTTACTCTGAATTTGTGTCTATTTCAAAGCCTGTGCTTCAGCCAAGGAACACATTTTTGAGCACCTTGTTTTCTTTCAGGTTCATATCCTGTCCCCATTTTCGCAATTCAGGGCTGGACAATCTGGACGGTCTCAAGAATTACCCAATGCTAATCCAACCTAATTGCAGATCCCCCATGGCCATCTGTTTATAGACGATTCTCCCTACTTTCATTGCCATGTTTGATTTGCAGAGGATGCCAGGAAGATGATGCACCTCACCCTGTTTAGTCGGCGCAGGCTTCTGTAGCAGACTGATTCCAATCATCTTCAGTCTCAGTCAGCCACCAAATTTCAACATCCAACTGTAGCTATCAGATGCTATCAGTTGTTCAAACAAACAGTACGGTGACGGTATCTGATTTGAGGCCCCCCCAGCTGCAACTGGATCTGTCCATGTAGAAGGAGTTGCTCTTCAATGCTCCCTTTGCACATTTCATGTCCACTTGCCAGGAATTGATCTGAGGGCCGGGGAAACAGAAGCTTCTGCCACACTAGGCTATTCAAATTTGAGTCAAATCAAACCCAGGTCTTACGCACTGAGCTACAGAAGATGTGCAAATTACTAGGCCTTGAAATCCTTAAATTGTAATTTGCCCATTTTTTAAGGTCATTTTCAGAAATAACTATATAGTAGTTAACAGTATATAATTTTCCTTACTAGTTATTGAAAATGCATGATTTCTTCAGAAATCTCTGCAGAATTTGCCCATTTTAACAACATGCCATGGTGATTTCACATCATCCCAAGAAGGAACATGTCATGGATTCCCCAAATCTATGGTCCATTGGGAGAGTAAAAAGTCATCTGAAACGAAATGAATCATCAATATTCATCAATCAGATGAGAATGATGACAAAATGATTCACTTTAATTTCATCTGATTAAAGTTATCAAACCTGATTAATTAATAATGTAATATCATCGAATTATCATCGAATCATCAAATATACGATATTTGCAACCACCAACCACGAAGAGATTTAACACCTGTCATGCCATGTCATGCCATTACCCGAGTCAATGATTATAAGCCTTGGAGTGAACTCTCAATCAATCGCACCAAAAAAACGCCCAGCCACTGAGTTCTTCTTAGACATTGTGGCTGCACGCGAGCTAAGGAGGGATTGATGGTGTGCTATCGCCGTGCGGGAGTAGATGGCAATGAATTCCTGGCAGCTGCCCGATGATGTGGCTGTGACGTGATGAAACCAGATTCATATTATATATATATAACATATTATGAAATATGTATTATATAATATGTTATATATAGCATTATATATATATATTATAAATATATATAATATATATAATATATTACACAAAGGATATCAAAGGACTGCCAGCCTTCCAACTCCTGACTCCACATCCCATTGCCCAATTCTACTTCGCATTCCATGCTTTTTCTGCCCGTGGTATATTCCATCGCTCAACAAAAATGAAAGTCCCAGCTTTGGTGATTTTGGTGCAAGGTCCTTGGCATACTCCACAAACATGCTGGCGCAAATTGGCGAGTGCAGCCTTCGGGTGATCCACTTATCCAGGGTCGCAGAGAAGAAACGACACAGCGACGAAGCTCCAAAGGATTTCTGTGACAAGTCGAATTATGCCAAGTTTATGCCAAGTGGCAGTATGCTGGTGATACTTTTGCCCGACAAGCTATAGACTTCCGCGAAGGTTTCAATGCTCAAGGTGCAATTGTGCATGACAGTGTCGACATACAAGGCCACCTGCCAAGCGCTGCCAAGCAATGCCAAGCGGACAGCCGGAAAGCCTGATGTGTAGTTTTTTCGAAGCTCATGTGGCTCATGACTCATGACTCAGCATCATTCCTGACAAAACAGCGCGGCAGCTTTGGTCTTAATGATTAGGTGATGGATGGTGATGGCCCCGCATCAATTTGACGATGCAAAACTTTTGCTGTCCAAGCTTGTCACGAAGTCATCAACCCCCCGGCCGGCCCCGAGCCTCAGAAAAGAACTGCCGGTCGTTGCTGAATTTCTCCATCTCCTGGAATAAAGGTACATTCGGCAATGGGCTGAGGTTTAAAGGCAAGGGGTGAAAGCGGACAGAATGGATCCGGGATATATGTATATATATAGATATGTGCATTGATATACATGGCCTTTATTTTACTGTATTTTATAGGCATGATTCAGACAAGCACTCATGATAACTTGTTCCAGGACCGAGAGGGCCTGACCATGGGAGTCGTAGAGCACAAAGGAGCCATGGCTGGTGATGTACATCGACTCCGCCAGTAAACCAGCAAGGAAGGCCTCAATATTCAGCAGGTGGAGCGAGGAGTGCCCAGCGAGAAATGCCAACCATGACCATGACATATCATGACATACCATGACTGATTATCTAATTATCTAATTACAGAAAGAGAGTGCATGTGCAACATAGTGCAACTTTGGTTTTGCTGCAGAAGTTACCCTGGTGATTTCTGGATGTTATTGGATGTTGCATACCACACCACGAGCCTCAAAAGAATTGACCATCTTGCGTGCCTCTGAGCGCCAGTGCACCGATCAACCCTCGAGTTTCCATTTGCATTCGAGAGGCAGATTCGCCTTCATAGTATAGTTCCTTGTGTAAGGCACCTTGGAAGGCCGTGGATTCCACCGTGACGCCGCGAGCACATGATTCCAGCTGTTTGACTAAGGCGCTTCTGAAAATTGAAATCCAGCAAGTGACCGGTGACCCAAAGGAAGATAGTAAATTACTAGCTGCACTAGCTGTCGCCTGGGGCTGGGGGCCCAAGATTCTTTCCGCTGGAGACCTATATAATTTGCTTGACCTGAGACCAAAATGCAGCCAGGTGTGCCACAAATGTCGGCGAAGACTTTGGGAAATGCTTCACCTTGCTGGAGATACATGAGATGCGAGCTGTCGCAAGTGGAAGAGGCGTGTTCTTCACGGCTAGATCCTTCCAGCACAAAACAGCACAAATCTACCATGGATCGATCATTTGGAACCCAGTGAGAAACTCAGTTGGCCACTGGTGAGCGAGAAGAGCGGATGGCCACGCATCAAATGGCCCTTTTGCCACACCGCCAGCTCTGCCTCAGCTCAGTGCCATCAACATCCACCACGGGCTGGCAGTCGGCCGCCAAGACACCACCAGGAGTGGTGAGATCAGGTCAATGTCATAGGACACGGGCGAATGACGATCCAGTTTGTAATCTGCAAAGCTCATTATTCGCATCACAAGCCTCAAGTGACACATAGATCACATAGAGTCACAGGGTTGTGTGGTATAATGGCACCTTGTTCGTTGATATGTGTACACACACATATATATATATATATGTACGTACGTACGTACGGATAGATTGTATGTATGTATGTATGTATGTATGTATGTATGTATGTATGTATGTATGTATGTATGTACGTATGTATGTATGCATGTATGTATATATGTATAGATTATGTATGTATGTATGTATGTATGTATGTATGTCTGTGTGTATGTATGTAAATTAAATTGAATGTAATGTAACGTAATGTAATGTAATGTATGTAGGTACGTACGTACGTATGTATGTATGCATGTATGTATATATGTATAGATTATGTATGTATGTATGTATGTATGTATGTATGGATTGTATGGATTGTATAGATTGTATAGATTGTATAGATTGTATGTATGTAAGTATGTATGTATGTAAGTATGCAAGTATGTAAGTAAGTATGTAAGTATGAAGTATGCATGTATGTATGTATCTATCTATCCACTATTTATGTATCTATGTATGTATGTATGTATGTATTTAATTATGTTGTATGTATGTAGGTAGGTAGGTATGTATGTATGTATGTGTGTGTATGTGTGTGTATGTGTGTGTATGTGTGTATGTGTGTATGTATGTATGTATGTATCTATGTATCTATCTATCTATCTATCTATGTATCTATGTATGTATCTATGTTTCTATGTATCTATGTATGTATGTATGTATGTATGCATGTATGTATGTATGTTTCTATGTATGAATGAATGTAGGTATGAATGATTATGTATGTATGATTATGTATCTATGGTTATGTATGAATGATTATGTATATATGATTATGTGTGTATGTGTGTATGCATGTATGTATGTATGTATGTATAGATTGTATGTATAGATTGTATGTATGTATGTATGGATTGTATGTATGTATAGATTGTATGGACGGATGTATAGATTGTATGTATGTATAGATTGTATGGATGTATAGATTGTTTGGATGTATAGATTGTATGTATGTAAGTATGTATGTATGTAAGTATGTAAGTATGCAAGTATGTAAGTAAGTATGTAAGTATGAAGTATGCATGTATGTATGTATGTATCTATCTATCTATCTATCTATCTATCTATCTATTTGTGTATCTATGTATGTATGTATGTATGTAAGTATATAAGTATGTAATTATGTAAGTATGTAAGTATGTGAGTATGTAAGTATGTAAGGTATGTATGTATGTATGTATGCATGCATGCATGCATGCATGCATGCATGTATGTATGTATGTATGATTATGTATGTATGATTATGTATGCATTAGATTATGTATGAGTATGTATGATTATGTATGTACGTAATTACATACGTATACATACGTATGTATGGATGTATGTATGTACCATTCTGGTTTGAAGCACTTGACAGCATGACAAGGTGATCTGCTTTATATAAAGTGCATATACGGCTTCTAATTGAGTCGAAGCAGTTGCGCCTCTGTTGCGTCCCGTGGCCAACTGCGCTGTCATGCCAAAATTGGCGAAACTTGTCCATGATGCTATAATCAGACAGAGCAGTCCCAAACATATTATATAATGAACAAAACATGAGGGGAAGAAAGGATAGGGTAGGATTTCTCATGACGGCGCAAGAATCCAATCCCTACGTTTCACTTCCCTTGATGAAAATCAGCGGGTTGCTTCTCAGGCGCTCAAGCCACCCGCGCCCAAAAAAAACGGATTGGTGTCCACGTCGGGACAAACTAACAGTTGTTGGTAATAACCAATTAAACATGCATGGCATGATACCAAACCCTATGAGATAGACCACAAAACAAAACAACAGGTAGTATGGTATAATTAGTACGTATGATCATCTCTATGTTGTTGGCTGGCCCAGCAAACTGTGATCTGCGATTTTGTCACTCTTCTTCCAAGAAGCTCCGTTGGCGCAGATTGCGAGTGAAGGTACGTGCGCAACTCTCGGCGTTTTCGGCTGCGTTGGTTGTTGATGGTGCGGATCTCCTTCAGAATTGAGACTCTGGCCGACGACTGAGGGGTACATTTGTCAATTTGGCATTCTTCTGCATCATTTCACTACCATGGTCAAAACATGGTACAGTATATTGATGCATATGGCTTGTGGTCATACAGTCATACATCCTATATATTGGGAATCATATGGAATCATTATCATGGGTATATTAAACCCGTAAAAAAAAAATCCCCGATCTGTGGCTGGATGATGCTTGATGACCATCCCCTTCCATCGGGAAAAATTCTTCAGCCTGCAAGGTGCCCGTCAAAAGCGACAAGGCGGAGCCAATGACCAGCACTGTCACCACCACCTTGGACAGGACATGCAATGAGTAGATTGATTGCTGTACTGTACATCTGTACACTTAAAACAAAAACATAAGTGCATGATAGTGCATGCTATCTATGGGTGTGTGTGTGTGTTAACTATTTATACTATACATATATGTATATATGTATATATATAATATCATGCATATATGTATGTTATAATAAATATGTATCTTATAATATATACATATGAATGCATATGAATGTTTAAAGTATATCAGGATGATATTGAAGGTCCCAACCTCGAACTTCTCACAAAGCCATCAACACATATCAAGCCAACATTCTTCAATTCATGCCTTGTTTTTAAAGGTATATAATTGTAATGTATTATTATATATATACATAAGTAAATAAGTATATAGTAATCACTATCTTTGTTCGGATTGTAGCCATCCATTCCCGTTTCAATATGTTTCAATAAGGTTTTCTAGGACATCAACTCCTTCAAATTCTGCCCCCCTCACCGTTGAACCATGTCGCCATCATGATCGAGACCTGAGTCAGGAACACCATGGACCGTCATAGATGTCATAGATGGCACAAGGCAGAGAGATTGAATGGAATCCATGCCATTGGTAGCCTATGCGCTAAGCCGCTCTGAAGCGACTGCATACAGCAGAATCCAGATGGATCATGGCTGTGGTCGCTTGACTATAGCTACTGGGCAATCCTGCGACCAAGAGGCAATCCTTTCCAGCAGGCTGTCAGTGTTCAAGACACCCAGTTCGGGAACTGATGGTGGCTGAACAACCCATGACAACGCATGGAGGTACTGCACTGGGCCTGCAACATTGCAGGCGTGGCCTTTTTTGCTGCAGCTGTGCCCTCCCAACTCACCCAGCCTGTTGAAGAACCAACGCCAGCAACATCAATCCAGCTCTCGCCGGTTTGCGACACAACTACTCCCACTCCCTGAAGTCAGAGGATGTCATGGGATGTCTGGGATTTGACTCAGGATGGCCTTGCAGCAAAGCCACTCCAAAGCTTTTGAGTTAGCAACAACTCCATTGAATACCAATACAGCTACAAGATTGCTAAGCTATCCTCTCTGGAGGTTAAGACATGTCAATAACTGTGGGCCAGATCCAAATCAACATGTTTGACCCACTTAAGTTAGCAACTTGTGCTGACATCCTGGCGGTATCTGGGCGCCCTGCAAACCAAGTACACGCCTCAGCGACAAAAGCTGCTGGCAGGCTTCTCACTCGTCACTAGTATACTGCATCGTTGCAACCATTTGAGGGACATCTAAAGGGGATCTACGGACTCCTTTACTCAATTTATACACCTTCAAATGCGAGGGTCAGCACGACTATGAACGTACAAGAATGGTAATGTGATGCCATCAGAAATACCCTCAGCATCAAGCATCATCAGGCTCTTGAAACCGTGCTGCTAAGACACAAGGAGATGCGCCGTGAGCAAGATTGACAACAACATCCGCAGGACATTGAAAGCCAGGACAAGGTTTTGCTGACCGAGTCCGATGACCCAATTCTCCAGTGTGATGTTCATCTTCCTGGACTTGATGATGCCTCGAACAGCGAGAGCACAACAAAACAAAGCCGGCATTTGGGCCATTCGGCAACACCGATTCTATACAGCAGTTGTCAGTTGTCACTTGCTGTATAAAGTTAAAAAGTTTTACTGTAAAATGTATGTATGCATACATGTAAGTATGACAGTCCAGTTCAATGAGATCCCTTTGGCCAATCTCCACTCGATGAAATTTATAGTCTATAAATCATTACTAATCATCATCAATCTATATATCAAAACTCTCCGCTGAACCCCTTTCCTGCTCCACTGCCCAATTTGTCGTGTTTCAGCTGGGCGGCGTAAGATACGGACGCTGCGAAAGGCCCGCAAGTAGCGGGCAGAGCGTAGTGTTTGAAGGTATCCTGTCCAGTGTGTCTGTACTGTGAACTTGGGCCCGCAGGGTTCAAAAAATTACGTTGTAGTCCCAAAATCACCATGCGGTTCCCCTTTTGATGCGGCATGGGGCCGTTCCCTTGTGCATTCAACTTGGGCCAAGAAGACATGTCGCTGCGAAATCCTGAAGCAGCACCGGAGGACTGCCAAGGGTCTTAGAAATCTAGATGTCCTGTGGCCCAACGGTCTCCAGCACCATTGCCAATGCTTGAATGTCCCTGAGAAGATTTGGGCACCCTTATTGACAGAGCTCAGCTAACTTGCCTTGATTCTCATCCTCCAGGAAGGTGTTGAGGATGGATAGGGTCTCGGACGGCAACTCTGCACAAGTGACAATCCAAAACCAATGGTGACACAAAGCATATTCCTGAGCAACTGCAAGGATACATGCATCATACTGCATCCCTCTCAGTGCAAATCAATTACTCATTATATTCATATATTTTTATACAATATGTATTCATATACATATATATATATATACAATTTATATATATATGTATATTCATATATATAATATACATACAATACATATATACTTGGTATACACCCCACAGCCACTTTAATTAATGGGAAATGATGATCATCGCTGAGGCCAAGGCCCAATCAATCAGCACGACGGTCACGTCAAAGGCCAACCATGTGTGCACGTAGTTCTTTGCGATTGGTTTCCGCTTCATGATGAGAAGCCCTTTCCTTGGGAGGAAAAAGATAACATTTAAAGAAAGCAAGGAAAGGGAGAATAATGGAGAATGCCTGAAATAGGGCTGGAACCCAAAATCCAGTGGTTTATCATCGTTTTCACAAATTGAGGTGGTTGTTTGGGGGCACATTCCCACTTCCAGACAAACCCACGTAAGTAAGTCACCCGCCCAAAAAAAACCTTCAAGAAGAGAGCTTGCCGTACCCGGCAATGCACGACGTCCATTGCATGAAGCAAGCATGGTCGATCCTGTCTTTTTAACATCACCCAACCATTGGGATCGTCTCCAAGAACCATCTCAAGTTGAGATGCGTATCTATATGCATACACATATGATACAATATATGTATACACACAACTAAACTATTGTAGCTATACAATGATATACATCGGATCTACGTTGCTGTTGCAGGGCATGAACGTCCAATTGGATAGATTGGGTCATGTCCCTCTCCATCCTCAAGTTCGGCCAAAGCTCTGGTGAAAGCCTGTATTAAAGTTCAACAGCACATCCAGTGGCCAGAACAACACATTGGTCCACGCCAGGAGCTGCAACAGCATCGCCTGGTGAATCTTCTTTGCCGATTTGCCGATGGAAAAACGGAGTGGAAGTTCGGAAGTAGGATCAGAATCACTGGTGCAGCGACGAATTTGAGCAAATGCAGCTAAAATCAGCTAATAATGCGATAGCCAATTTGCATTGATACAGAATCTTCGTAGGTTATTTTTGAAAAATACCTGCACAAAAAACTACAAACCGCACAGCACAGGACTTCTCAGATCTCATGTTCATCGCATACATCGCCTATCGCTTTGTGGGTGGATTCAACGTCCCAGGTTGTTCCAAACACCCCAGGTACAATGTGGGAAGGCAAATACAGAGGCACAAATCTTTGGACCTCTTGTGGCTATCATTTACCTATAATGGTTTGGACCACCCCGTAATGTGGGGTGGATGGATGAGATTGCAAGATGCAGCATGTTGAGCCTCAAAGGACTTCTGTATAGGAAAGAGTTTCTTGTCGATCTGCCAAGCTAAGGTCAAGGGGAGAATGACCACGTCCAAAATAATGAGGCCTTAGTCATCTTGGTCTTGTTGTTTCTGGTGCTGGCAACTGTGGGCACTCTGTGATCTGATATGGTCTAATGATATGGTCGGATATGATATTGCGATGAACCCAGCTTCTGGCTGCTCTTCTCAGGCAATCCTTGCCTCCCACGTCTTGGTACTGAATAATATGTTGGTCATATATGAATGTATACGTGCATATGAATATGAATATGAATATGAATATGAACATGAATATGAATATGAATATGAATATATATATATATATATCCGTGTGTGTGTATGTATGTAAAAAAAACATGTGTGTGTAACATCTGAATAGATGGAAAACTTCTCTCCTTTTCTTTCTTCTTTCCTCTCCCTTTTTAATAACGCAGGGGGTCACCGGGGTCCCGGGGGGGTCGGTGACCAACGAAGACACACCCCGGGACCCGTGTAAACGTACCTGCGATCTAATTTAGGTCTAATGGTCTAGGCTGGTTTGCATGTTACAGGACTCAGTTCCTGACGGATCTCTTCAAAGATCCTTTCTTGCCTAATGTGATTCCTATGGTGACTCCGACAAGGTGCCATAGGGCCAATTGAGGCAACCCCTTTGTGGGTGACTGTGGACAGACTTGACTTCCGAATTCACACATTTTAACTTGGTAATTCGTTTAAGTAAAGTGCAACAGTTGGCCTTACGGTTGTGCACCACTTTGTCACTTCCCGCCGTTCCGGATGTCCCAGGGTTCCTCGCCAAAATGCCTATCTATCAGAGTGAAGACGTTCGGAACAATCAGAAACTTCGTTTTTTCGCTGCAGCTTCAGTGAGTGAAGTGACATGTGCATTACGACACGACACAGTGATCAGGCAGGTACATGGCCTTACGTGTGGTATTTTTCCCTTCTGGCGGTTTTCTGGTGAGGTTAATCATATTGTGTGCACCTAATTCGATGGAATTTGAACAACTGTTGTATGCCCTCTGGGCTGACCTGACTACCGTCCCGGCAAGGGAATAACGCACGACTCCTCTCCGTAATGTGTCGTGGGGTTTTAGGTGTGTGCTCTGTTTTGGTCAGGTCCGTTTCGCCGCGTAGGTTGGTTCTGGAGGTCCGTTCGTTCCTCTCCCCCCCCTGCGCTGTTTTGGCCTTTTGCCCGTCGTCTGTGTCCGCTTTTTTCTTCCTCTTGCCTTTCAGGGTTGACCCGGCTCCGGCCGGGTGTGTGTTGGTGTGTAACATCTGAATAGATGGAAAACTTCTCTCCTTTTCTTTCTTCTTTCCTCTCCCTTTTTAATAACGCAGGGGGTCACCGGGGTCCCGGGGGGGTCGGTGACCAACGAAGACACACCCCGGGACCCGTGTAAATGTACCTGCGATCTAATTTAGGTCTAATGGTCTAGGCTGGTTTGCATGTTACAGGACTCAGTTCCTGACGGATCTCTTCAAAGATCCTTTCTTGTCTAGAGTGTGTGTGTGTGTGTTATGTGTGTATGCGTGTTATGCGTGTATGTGTGTTATGTGTGTATGTGTATATGTGTGTTATGTATGTATGTGTGTTATGTGTGTTATGTGTGTTATGTGTGTTATGTATGTATGTGTGTTATGTATGTATGTGTGTTATGTGTGTTATGTGTGTTATGTGTGTTGTGTATGTATGTGTGTTATGTGTGTTATGTGTGTATGTGTGTATGTGTGTATGTGTGTATGTGTGTTATGTGTGTATGTGTGTATGTGTGTTCTGTATGTATGTGTGTTATGTGTGTTATGTGTGTTATGTGTGTTATGTGTGTTGTGTATGTTGTGCGTGTTAAGTATGTTATGTTATGTTATGTTATGTTATGTTATGTATGTTATGTATGTTATGTATGTAATGTATGTAATGTATGTTATGTATGTTATGTACGTAATGTAATGTAATTATGTATGTATGTATGTATCTATGTATCTATGTATCTATGTATTTATGTATCTACGTATCTATGTATCAATGCATCTAGCTATGAATCTATCTATATATCATATCTATCTATGTATCTATTTCTATATCATATCTATCTATGTATCTATCTATGCATCTATCTATGCATCTATCTATGCATCTATCTATGTATCTATCTATCTAATCTACTATCTATGTATCTATCTATCTATCTATGTATCTATCTATCTATCGATCGATCGATCTGTCTATGCATTTATCTATCTATCTATCTATGTATCTATGTATCTATGTATCTATCTATGTATCTATGTATCTATGCATCTATGTGTCTATGTGTCTATGTGTTTTTGTGACTATGTATCTATGTATCTATGTATCTATGTATCTATGTATCTATGTATCTATGCATTATGCATGCAATGGATGTAATGGATGTAATGGATGTAATGTATGTAATGTATGTAATGTATGCAATGTATGCCATGTATGCCATGTATGCCATGTATGCCATGTATGCAATGTATGCAATGTATGCAATGTATGTAACGTATGTAATGTATGTAATGTATGTAATGTATGTAAATGTATGTAATGTATGTAATGTATGTAATGTATGTAATGTATGTACTGTATGTGATGCAATGTATGGTATGGTATGGCACGGTACAGTATGGTATATGGTATGGTGCGTATGGTATCTCTATCTATCCATGGATGGATGGATGTGTGGATGTGTGGATGTGTGCGTGTGCGTGTGTGTGCGCGGGTGTGTGTGCGAACCATCTGAACAAATCTAAAACCTCTTTTTTCGGTATATTTCCTTGTTTTGTCTGCACCAATTTAAAAAACTGCAGGGGGCACAGGCCCATTGTGGATACCTGTGCCAACGAAGCTATTCCACAATGGGGGAAGCGGAGATTGAGCACCTCCGTGTACCTGCAATTTTCCAATTTATCGTCGATGGCAACCGGCTAAGCCAAGAACCGGCACGTCGTTTTCAAACAGTTTTCCAACCAAACTTTCCGTTTTCCATTCGATATCACTTCACTGCCTGCACGGCTGTCGCAGTCTGTTCGGAGAGAACCATTTGGAACTTTTTCACCTCGGGTCATCAACCAATTCCTGTCAGGTTTAATTGGAGTGTTTTTGCACGCACGATACATTCCACATCAGAATTCGCAATGCCTGTTCTGAGCAAGTGTGTGATTCATGCTGGATTCATCAACCCTTCGGGGAATGCTTTTCTAAGCAAAATGTGGATGTAACGACCTGATGTCTGAATTTACACTTTTGAATTAGTAATTCGTTTAAGTAAAGTGAAACTGCTGGCCATTTTTCGGTTTTCACCCTGTCGACTGTCGTTTGGTTGAACAGCGTGCCGCAGTGCCTGGCATCACCTTTCTTTTATGCTGATATGCATAGCTGGCAGCCACGTCAACAATTTCTTTTTCCATCATTGCTCCAGAGAGTTACAGACAGAAGACATCACTGCAACATGCTTGATGATTCAGGCAGGCACATGACTTTAGGTGTGGTCTTTCTTTCTTTTTATGGTCGTTGGTGAGGTTCAATTGTGCACGTAATTCAACAGTTGACGACGTAAGCTGTCCACAGGGTTGACTTTAGGCCTGTGAGCCTGCAAGAAGGGGAAATTTGCATGATTATGTGGATGTATCATTTCATTAACTAGTTCCCCATGGGTCGCCTATTTCATGTGTTCTCCCCTCTACAGGTAGGTTGGGTCCTTCGCGTGCCGAGGTAGGCGTAGGTTTTCGCCGTGTTAGGTTGGTTCAGGCGCTTCCGTCCTCCCCCCCCTCCGCTGGTCTTGTTCCGTGTCCGTCGGCCTTCGCTTTTCTTTTCCCTTGCCTTTCCAGGGTTTGCCCGTTTTGGGCTAGGTTTCATGTTTTGGTGTTTTCTCCTTCCTTCTTCTTTTGTGTTCCCCTCTTCGCGTCCTGGTTAAGTAACTTTCATCTCATTTTCACCTTCACCTCATTTTCATGTCCCTTCTTATTCATTTTCATTTCATTGTCCGGGCATTAATTTTCCACCCTCCTGCGGGAGGGTGTGTGTGTGTGTGAACCATCTGAACAGATGTAAAACATTTTTTTTCGGTATATTTCCTGGTTTTGTCTGCGCCAATTTAAAAAACTGCAGGGGGCACAGGCCCATTGTGGATACCTGTGCCAACGAAGCTATTCCACAATGGGGGAAGCGGAGATTGAGCACCTCCGTGTACCTGCAATTTTCCAATTTATCGTCGATGGCAACCGGCTAAGCCAAGAACCGGCACGTCGTTTTCAAACAGTTTTCCAACCAAACTTTCCGTTTTCCATTCGATATCACTTCACTGCCTGCACGGCTGTCGCAGTCTGTTCGGAGAGAACCATTTGGAACTTTTTCACCTCGGGTCATCAACCAATTCCTGTCAGGTTTAATTGGAGTGTTTTTGCACGCACGATACATTCCACATCAGAATTCGCAATGCCTGTTCTGAGCAAGTGTGTGATTCATGCTGGATTCATCAACCCTTCGGGGAATGCTTTTCTAAGCAAAATGTGGATGTAACGACCTGATGTCTGAATTTACACTTTTGAATTAGTAATTCGTTTAAGTAAAGTGAAACTGCTGGCCATTTTTCGGTTTTCACCCTGTCGACTGTCGTTTGGTTGAACAGCGTGCCGCAGTGCCTGGCATCACCTTTCTTTTATGCTGATATGCATAGCTGGCAGCCACGTCAACAATTTCTTTTTCCATCATTGCTCCAGAGAGTTACAGACAGAAGACATCACTGCAACATGCTTGATGATTCAGGCAGGCACATGACTTTAGGTGTGGTCTTTCTTTCTTTTTATGGTCGTTGGTGAGGTTCAATTGTGCACGTAATTCAACAGTTGACGACGTAAGCTGTCCACAGGGTTGACTTTAGGCCTGTGAGCCTGCAAGAAGGGGAAATTTGCATGATTATGTGGATGTATCATTTCATTAACTAGTTCCCCATGGGTCGCCTATTTCATGCGTTCTCCCCTCTACAGGTAGGTTGGGTCCTTCGCGTGCCGAGGTAGGCGTAGGTTTTCGCCGTGTTAGGTTGGTTCAGGCGCTTCCGTCCTCCCCCCCCTCCGCTGGTCTTGTTCCGTGTCCGTCGGCCTTCGCTTTTCTTTTCCCTTGCCTTTCCAGGGTTTGCCCGTTTTGGGCTAGGTTTCATGTTTTGGTGTTTTCTCCTTCCTTCTTCTTTTGTGTTCCCCTCTTCGCGTCCTGGTTAAGTAACTTTCATCTCATTTTCATCTTCACCTCATTTTCATGTCCCTTCTTATTCATTTTCATTTCATTGTCCGGGCATTAATTTTCCACCTTCCTGCGGGAGGGTGTGTGTGTGTGAACCATCTGAACAGATGTAAAACATTTTTTTTCGGTATATTTCCTGGTTTTGTCTGCACCAATTTAAAAAACTGCAGGGGGCACAGGCCCATTGTGGATACCTGTGCCAACGAAGCTATTCCACAATGGGGGAATCGGAGATTGATCACCTCCGTGTACCTGCAATTTTCCAATTTATCGTCGAGGCAACCGGCTAAGCCAAGAACCGGCATGTCGTTTTCAAACAGTTTTCCAACCAAACTTTCCGTTGTCCATTCGATTTCACTTCACTGCCTGTACGGCTGTCGCAGTCTGTTCGGAGAGAACCATTTGGAACTTTTTCACCTCGGGTCATCAACCAATTCCTGTCAGGTTTAATTGGAGTGCTTTTGCACGTACGATACATTCCACATCAGAATTCGCAATGCCTGTTCTGAGCAAGTGTGTGGGTCTGTGAGAGTGCGCATGTGCGCATGTGTGTATGTGCATGTGCGTATGTAATACTGTACAATATATATCTTTAATAGAGAATGCACACATAAACCCACCGGTTTCGTTGCGCATTGGCTAGCGGTTTCAGTGGAAGCCAATCCCTTTCTGCCAAAGGCACAGGTGCCGATCAGGTCCCAACTGAATCGCAACCTGGAGAGCACTGAGAAAATCCCAAACATCTCACGCAAAAATATTGATTTGAATTCAACACAGCAATTATCAAAGGCAAACGGCCCCATTTGATAAACTCTCACAGTTCGGGGACGGTTGGCCTTGTTTTCGGTCAGCTGTCAGCCCTGCCTAGAATATGGAGCGATCACACCACAATCAGGCTGCCGCAGCCCCTCACTCAAGTCTGCCCTGGAGCGGAAACCCAATGCTGGATCTTAGCATTTCAGAACCTAAACTTGCTGGGTTTGGGTGGGTTTGGGCGGTATTTGGACCAACAATGGCTTACTAGTTACTAGATTGCTTCTTGCATTGTCATTCGTGGTACATCTGTTTGATGCCGGTATGGGTCAAAACCCTGACACCATGGGTTTCACATCAAAATGGCTGGCAGCTGATGGATTGGGGAATAACCTATCCCCATACATCCCCATGTTCAGTGGAGTTTTTGCCATCGGGGAATGGGATAGCCATGGACAGCCCATATCCCAAGTGTAATCCCAACTCAAAATCATGTAAAATAATGTAAAATCCTAATGTTTAATGGCCAGATTCACAGTACCGAACCAACACTATTTTCACCAATGGAAATCCCTCTCCGCCCTCGTCGGCCTGCTTGAGCGTACCGCACTGGAGAATCTCAGATGCCCTACAGCCTGATGTGCTCCACTGCTGTGCAAAGCACCACCTGACGTTTTGCGGATGGGAAACACCGAATCATCACGTGCTTTCTCTTCGGAAATATATACTTGGGGCACATATGAAGCTCACAGGTTTCATAGTTGATGTGCCAATGATCTTTTCAAAAATTGTTTTGGGCCATCAATTTGGATCACAGGTTGACATACGAAATTGGCGTGTTTCGATTTGATTGGGATCGACCAAAGGGGGATTGTTGGGCCCGGCCCGGATTGTTTAACCAACGAAATTCTCTGGGTATGGGGGTTCAATAGAGAACAACTCAAACGTAGCAACCAAATGCTGCGGCATTTGAGTTAGGAAGATTAGGAAACTAAGGCTTAACCTCCTGTTTTCACTGAGATGTGGAAAACCCACCAACTGTCCTTTTCCGAAGGGGTTTTCCCCATGGCAACTTTTCCACATCTTTCTACCCCAGGGCTTCCACCGTGACATCCCCAACCTGAGCGCATCGAGAGCTCCATGAAATGTGGACTCAACTGCCTCAGGAGGCCGGCCTGGTAATGATCCCATGGAGAATGTGGTTCATCTCCGGATATCGGATGTATACATATATATAATATATACACACAATTTATATATATATATATATGTATGTATGTATATATATATATGTGTGTGTATTTAATATATATATATATACACAATAATTTATACATATGTAAGCATATGTGTATATAATATATATATATACATATATACATGTATATCAATACATGTATATCACATCCATATGATTTTGATCATTGAGGAGGTCATGTCTATATTCTCCAATCTATATGGTTTATCTCTGGGCGGCGTAAATTAATATCTTCCAGAACCTGTTCCATCTCGTTCCAACCCTCCATCCCCCAAAAAATGGACGCAAATACTAAAGCCGAACAAATGCAAAATTACTTTTCTTCGTGTGATCCCCACCATGGCATTTATCGATTTGTTACTGGCAAATCTTCTGGCATTCTATCTGACATATCTTCTGGCATTCGATCTGGCATTCTATCTGGCATATCTTCTGGCATTCTACCTGGCATATCTTCTGGCATATGTTCTGGCAAATTATCTGGCATTCTACCTGGCATATCTCCTGGCATATCTTCTGACATTCTATCTGGCATTCTATCTGGCAAATCTTCTGGCATATGTTCTGGAAAACATTCTGGCCCTTTATCTGGCATACCTTCTGGCATTCTATCTGACATTCTATCTGGCATACCTTCTGGCATTCGATCTGGCATATCTTCTGGCACACTTTCTGCCAATCTATGATAATCTATGTGGCATATCTTCTGGCATTCGATCTGGCATTCTATCTGGCATATCTTCTGACATTTTATCTGGCACATCTTCTGGCATTCTATCTGGCATATCTTCTGGCATTCTATCTGACACTTTACCTGCATTCTCTCTGGCATACCTTCTGGCATTCTATCTGGCATATCTTCTGGCATTCTCTCTGACATTTTATCTGGCATATCTTCTGGCATTCTATCTGGCCGTTGAGGTCCAGCGGTGCACACTGAGCTGGGAAGGTCCCAGGTTGAGGTCCAGCGATGCGCACTGAGCTCAGAAGGTCCCAGGTTGAGGTCCAGCGGTGCACATTGAGCTGGGAAGGTCCCAGGTTGAGGTCCAGCGGTGCACACTGAGCTGGGAAGTTGGCAAAGAGCTTGGCGAAGAGTTGGCAAGGCGGAAGTTGAGGTGGAAGTTGATGCAGACATGGTCGAGGCGAAACAGGCGGAGGAGAAGGAGGAGGAGGAGGAAGAGGAGGAGGAGGAGAGCTAGCCGAGGAGGAGAAGAACAGCTCTGATAAAATCTAACAACCCTCACCTGGCAGGTGGGGAAAAAAATGTCAATTTTTACTTGAGGCATGAAAGCACCAGAAATGATGCGCTTTGTCCAATGATGTTTCAACCAACAGCCATCACTGTAGTTGGCTTTTTTTGCACATTGGATGCGGTATTGCCATCATGCAACATCCATGGTACATATCCATGTCTTCTCCACCTACACTCATTATCATAGGATCCTTGGTCAACCCTTCCCATTGGCCAATCTTCGATATCGGTCACTGTCAAAACCTGCCTTTAGATTACGCGCATGATAATCATGATAGCAACAGAAATAGATTGTTCATAGTAATCTCTGGCAGAACTTACGTATAGTAACAAGTTGACATCCGTAAACCTGTCCTTCACCCAGGGTTATCATGTTTATCCACTAAGCATCCGCTAACCGACCCGACCCATGTGGCCCATCAGTTTCCAAGACACAAATTCAAGCGTTCATCGGTATCGTTGTCGCGCAGGACTGCCTTGGGCCGGATAAACCAACGGGAAATCTGAAATGGATCAATCTGTAAAGATAGGCGTATATGCATCTATTGTATATGTTATTATGATATATGCATAACGCATATAAAATTATTCAGAGCTGAATAGAAATAAATCGCTAATATTGGCTAGCCTTTTCACCTGAAAGGTTCGGTCATTTGGGATGATTCCTGGTCCGGACCGTTGACCCCTTGGATGGAAAATCTATGAAAATCTATGGACATCTGCATGTTGACCTTCACATCTAATTACAATTTCTTTAACCATGGCGCCGCTTGCTGTCTCGCACGAATGCCTTCCAGTGAGTCTGGGTCATCATTCCGCGACCTGCCAGGCCATAGGGGTCCAATGATCAAATTTGGATGGTTGGCACATGTTGGCACTGGTCGGCACCGGTTCAAGCAAGCCAGCATCCCGGGATTGCTAAATAATGAAATAATGAAAATGGAAGTGAAGCAAATATAGCTGGCCAGGGGCATCGACCCACCCCAGGACACCATACAGCATCAGTCACTAGAGGCCCCAATCTTGGTTCAAAGTCCAGAACTTTTGGAAAAACAGAACTGCCAAACGAGGGCGCCACTTTCTCGGCAGACATGCCACGGCACGGTGCCTGTCTTTCAGTACTTGTTGCATCACCACGGGAGGATCTCCCCGAAAGCCGCCATCATCTTCTGCCTGTCTCTCAGCAGTTGGGTCCTCCTTGATCACCTCCTCAGGCTCTGCTTGCTGATTCAGCCCTGCTGCCTGAAATATGTGAGGACACGGCCAAAAGCCTCCAAAAGTCACCAAAAGTCACTAAAAAAATACTAAAAATATGTTTGAAATAAGTCATGCATGTCATGCCGGAATGAATCATGATGATGCCTTCACTGCCAGACTCTGATACATTAACTTCGCCAGAGATGTGGGACCTACAATGCCTACAAGCATGACATTCACATCAGAAACGTCATCTAACAGCGCCTGAGATCGTACTTCTTCAATGACTTTGTGAAGCTCTGCCTCCACTTTTTCCAAACCTAAGGTAACCAAGCCCCTAAGGCGCCCATGAACTGCAGACCTAGGGATCCTAGAGGCTGAAGGGATCTCCAAAAGCTTGAAATATCACTGCCCGAGAGCCCGAGAGTCCGACAGAAACTACATCATGAGACATGATTTCTAATTCACTTGCACATCAATCATATATAAATATGATATAACATTCTAAGCTTAATAACAGTCATCATCATCATCATCATCATAGTAGCAATAGAAAGACTAATAATAACAACAATAGCAATAATGATAACAGTAATAATAATGGTAATCTATATATATATATTTATTTATATACACACATGATATTATTATTATATAATAATATACATTTTTTTAAATACAATATCAATATAGTCCACACCAAGAGAAAATGTGCCAGTGGCGACCTGGCCACCTCGCGACCCACTTGTGCCAAGGGACTTGCCAGCAGCGACATGTACGCTGTCGCCGCTGTCGCTCCGGCGCCCGTGTGAGACCCCCTGTGTCCCGGCCGTGTTGGGTTTGTGATGGTTTGTGGCATGGTGGCATGTTGTAGCTAAACTCTCCCCGCATCTTTGCATAGTTTGCGCATTTTTCTAAGATTGGATTTAGGGAAAAACATGGAAAAACAACATGAAACGAACTCAGCTGCAGAAGCTCTGTGGTCATCTCCCATCAGATTGCTTCATTGCTTTAGCACGACTGGCTCAACAGCGCTCAAAGATGTGCTACAGGGCACACTGAAAAGGCAGCGGTGAGCTGGAGAAGCACAGATTATCTGACAGATGCATTGCTCCAAACTATCCAGAGCGACCCAAATGAAGACATCAAATGGACATAATAGATATTGATAGATATAGATCAGAAAAGTCCAAGAAACAAACCAAAATATGCCTAAACTAGGGTGCCGTGAACGCTCGGGGCCGAAATTAAACACCTCAGTGACAGTGTGTGTGTGTGCGGCCCTGTGAATTCCTACCATGTTTATCCATTTTTTCTGTCAAACCTTGATGGGTCCGAACAGGGTGAGACGTCTCGGGCATTCTTCGCAAAAAAAAATGAAGCCATGGCAGTAGGGTCAAACAAACTTACGACCAGGCAAGCTGCCATGCTCATCGCTGGGAGGACAAGCGCGCCCGTGATTCTGTCTTTGTTTTAGACTTTCTGTGGGGCCTGGTGTGCTTCTATATGCTTCTATGTCTGCAGCCAAAAATCAGATGGAAAGTTGCTCGAGCGAATCTCTCAGAAGAAATCAGAGACAGAGAACACATTTCTCTAGCATTGCAGTAGCTTATCATGGAGCGCGGAAATCCTTTACCGCTGACCGCTTCAAAAAACCAATAGAACGGTTATCCGTTCCAGCCAGGTTGCTGAGGGGAGGAGGCTTCCACGGCTTGCAGCCATGGCACTGTGCAAGGAACATGTTCCAAACCCGAGCCCTGGCTAAACCTTCAGTGTGATTCAGGGGTATGAAACAGGGTGGTGCTTTGAAATAACTAACTAGTTTTTTCATGTTTATTTTTCAACTTTGATCACAATCATCTTAAAGGAAGTTTAGTGAGCTAACATCCGAGCATCTTCATATGTAAAAAAAATGAAGAGTAAAAGTATCAAAAAGTCCCATAATTCACATAATATCCCAAGGTTGCTGCATCCATTCTGCATCCACCCTTTGAAAAAACGCAAAAGCTTCCCACCCCTCAGCCATGAGCCGCGCTTTGCGCAGGCCACCGGCGGTCAGATCCGGCGAAGGCGAAGGTCCTTGCTGTGCAATGAACCATGGGCGAAGGCTACGTTTTTTTCCATGGGGATCCGTCCGGGGTAGGACAAAAAACCGGGGCTTCTCATCGGGTTTTAATTATGATGGTGTACCTAATGATTAACATGAAGGAGCTCATAATTATTGGATTTATTGGTCACCCCAAAATTGGGACCTTGGACTGGAAAGGGAGTGTTATGAAGTTTGGACCACAAAATCAACCCTGATCACCATTCATCTAGAGTAGAATCATGTGGAATCTAGTAGTCCTTTGTTGCAGGATGTTGCAGGCTATCAAAGTGGTGAAAATTGGAAACCACGCCCGTGTGTCACATCTATTGAATCTATTTGCTGGCTTAGTTCGTGGAATCTTTGACGCTCCCTACTCGCAGCACCTCAAAAAATCTCGCTCTCCACAACGAGCAAGTTCAATGGTTCACCCGCGGCAATCCGATTACCATCCTTGCGGAAAGTGACCAACTGGCCTTGAGAAAGGCCACACACGTATGCACAAATGTGTACATGCGCAATGTATACATAGTATACATACATAATATGATACTTACATAAATTATTGCATATATTGAAAATATGTATATATATATGTGTGTGTGTGTCTGTGTATGTATGTATGTATGCATGCATGCATCTATCTATCTATCTGTCTATCTATCTATCTATCTGTCTATCTGTCTATCTATCTATCTATCGATCTATCTATCTATCCATCCATCCATCCATCCATCCATCAATCCATCCATCCATCCATCCATCTATCTATCTATCTATATATGTGTATCTATATGTATCTATATGTATCTATCTGTATCTATCTGTATCTATCTGTATCTATCTATCTATCTATCTATCTATCTATATGTATCTATGTGTATCTATATGTATCTATATGTATCTATATGTATCTATATGTATCTATATGTATCTATATGTATCTATATGTATCTATATGTATCTATATATCTATGTATCTATGTATCTATGTATCTATGTATGTATGTATGTATGTATCTATGTATCTATGTATCTATGTATCTATGTAGCTATGTAGCTATGTAGGTGTGTATGCATGTATGCACGTGTATTCGTGCGCCGTATATGTTTGTATTTATGTGTGTGTATGTATGTATGTATGTAAGTATCTATCTATCTATCCATCCATCCATCTATCTATCTATCTGACTATCTAGCTACTTACGTACCTATGTATGTATATACGTATGTACGTATGTACGTGGGTACGTATGTACGTATGTATGCACGTATGTATGCACGTATGTATGCATCTATGTATCTATGTACCTATGTCTGAATGTATCCATGTATCCATGTATCCATGTATCCATGTATCTATGTATCTATGTATGTATGTATGTATGGATGTATGTAGCTATATAGCTATGTATGCATGTATGCACGTGTATAGGTGTGTATATGTGTGTGTATGTATGTATGTATGTATGTATGTCTGTATGTCTGTATGTCTGTATGTCTGTATGTGTGTATGTGTGTATGTGTGTATGTGTGTATGTGTGTATGTATGTGCGTATGTATGTATGTGTGTATATGTATGTGTGTGCAAATATGTGTGTATGTATATGTATGTGTGTATGTGTGTATGTATATGTGTGTATCTGTGTGTGTATGTATGTATGTGTGTCTGTGTGTGTGTGTATGTGTGTGCGTGTCTGTGTCTGTATATGTGTCTGTCTGTGTGTGTGTCTTTGTGTCTGTGTGACTGTGTATGCATGTATGCATGTATGCATTCATGCATATATGCATGTATGCGTGTATGTTTGACTGTATGGATGCATGGATGGATGGATGGATGCATGCATGCATGTATGTATACATGTATGCATGTATGCATGTATGCATGTATGCATGTAGGTATATATACATGCATGCATGCATGCATGTACGGATGGATGGATGTATGCTTGTATGCTTGTTTGTATGTATGTATGTATGTGTGTATGTATGTATGTATGTATGTATGTATGCATGTATGTCTGTCTGTCTGTCTGCATGTCTGTATGTATGTCTGTATGTCTGTATGTCTATATATATATATATAGAGACATATAATCTATATAACACCCATGTGTGGGTACAGTACATCATTTTAAACAAAGCCATGATTCTCAGGGAAACGTGACATCAAGCCCTCCACAACCCGGCCTTCTCTTGCTTTTTCTGATGCACCAGCTCCCGAACGCTGTTTGCCAGCATGATGACATCTGTGTGGGGCTCCCGAACCTCAGCAACGGCAACTTCTGCATGCTCCATGTTGGGGTTTTATCTTGACTCAAATATGCTGGTCAGCTTTGTCATGGGAAGAAAAAAGGAGAAAGCAACAAAAACATACAAAAACATCATTAGTGAAAATTCATCCGTTTCAGACTACCAACATTACCAAATCCAGCAGGGTATGCTCCCTGGTCGCCCAGAAACGCGGCGCCAGTTTTCCTGGGAAACTTCCAGAACCAGCCGACCTGCCTTGGTGCACCAAGGTTGAGGTTGGAATATGTTGGAATATTGAATATATAATAGGTTGGAATATTGATGAATATTGAATATTATTATCATTTCTTATTCATTTCTTCACGCAGCGCTGGAACATGTCGCATCCATCCCGCCATCATGTCAATAAGAGTCAGCTATCAAAAAATAAAATAAAAGTCATCAAAAAGAAATTTAATTTCCCATCAAAAAAATTAAACTCATCAAAAAAAAATTATTCCCTCATATCCTGGCCTGCGCAAGCCAAACGCAAAATACAAGCATCATGAAATCTGTGCATTGCATCATCAAAAAAAATATGTTTAAATTATTTTTTGATGATTTAAATTTTTTGGGGGGTCATTGGTAAAACAATTATTACTAGCAGAAAAAGTATATTAAAAAAGGAATATACTTGGGAGGGACGGTTGGGTGGGCTTGGTCGACGCCGACATGTACGAGTCATCGCACAAGGAACACGTATTGGTTCGCAAGCTGTTCAATAACGAGGCACTGGGCCAAACAACATTGAATCCAATGGGCTACAAAAACCATTCTTTCCATCATGTTTTCCAGGCACGGGTGGGTGGGCCTGCTGTATACGGAAGCTTGCACAACAACGCACGGCTACGCGATGAAGTATGCTTGAAAAAGGCCAAAGAGCCAAAAGCCAAATGGCCAGAGGCCAATAGGTCAAGCCTGGCGCTAAAACCCAGAGGAAGTAGCAGGAGGACAGTAGACGAAGCTGAGCAGGTTGGCTGCGACAGGTTTGGTAATGCCAAGAAAGATGAGAACGTGCGGGAATCGAACTTCCATGCGTGTAAGTTACCTGGCCCAGCGACCAAGCGTACCCAATTCCCAGGACCTAGCGTTCGAGCCACACAGCCCTACTTGCAAGGCAGCTGAGTCGTTGGGCCACCGGGCCACCAGTTCCAGGCCCCCACACAGCAATGGTCAGCTGCCATCCCCATTTTGACTTGCAAAGGTGTATGTCTACTATGTTGGAATGGACGCAATGTAGGTGGGCCTTATCATGACACATTCATTCGCAATGTGGGTGGGCCTTATCATCCACCTTTCTGGCGTTGTCACAAGCCGCGGGCAGGGCTTTAAAATAAAAAGGCGGGAGGGGGGCGCGGGGGGAGGGCTGAAGAGGGGCCCTAGCGTCTACTTCAAGATCAGCTAAGGCGTCTTCCCCAATGACAGCACTTGTTTTACTCA